TGGTTTTTGGGCCAGGAGGCATGTGGAATCTTAGCTCCCCAACAAGGGATGGATCATGCACCTCCTGCATTAGAAGGTGAAGTTTTTTTTTTATTTCTTCTAGGTCTTTGTTAAACATTTCTTGCATCTTCTCAATCCTTGTCTCCAGGCTATTTATCTGTAACTCCATTTTGTTTTCAAGATTTTGGATTATTGGAAGGTGAACTTTTAACCACTGGATCACCAGGGAAGTCCCAGATTCTTTTTTATTATTGGTTATTACAGGACATTGAATATAGTTCCCTGAGCTATACAATAGACCCTTTTACATAGATATAGATCCAGTTTATATACATATACAGTATACACACACACACACACACACACACACATATATATATATAAAATATATGTTAATCCCAAATTCCCAATTTATCCCTTCATGCCCCCCCCCACCCCTCTGGTAATCATGAAAGTGAAAGTGAAGTCGCTCAGTCATGTCAGACTCTTTGCGACCCCATGGACTGTAGCCTACCAGGCTCTTCCGTCCATGGGATTTTCCAGGCAAGAGTACTGGTGTGGGTTGCCATTTCCTTCTCCAAGAGATCTTCCCAACCCAGGGTTTGAACCCAGGTCTCTCACACTGTAGGCAGACACTTTACCGTCTGAGCCACCGGGAAGTCCTGGTAATCATAAGTCATAAAACTGAATTTTGAAGATAAGGTGTTCGCCATAGTTCAAAAAGAGAGAGGACATTCCAAGAAGAAAGCAAAATAGGTACAAAGTTTCAGAGTTAGAAGCAGCATAGCTGAAATTAGATGATAAAACTAAAGCTTAGAGAGGATAAGTAACTTGCCTAAGATCACACAACTAGCAAGTCAAAGAACTGGAGGCAGCTGAACCCAAGCCAAAGTTATTTATGGGAGTGTGTCATGTGTCCTGAGAGTGTTGAGAATCACTGCTCGGGATCTAGCATACATGCCACACGAGCTCAGACCACATTCAGTAGATGACAGGAAATCATGAGAAATCTTTAAAAATGGGTTTATTTATTTTTGGCTGTGCTGGTTCGCATTGCGGTGCTCGGGGTTTCTCTAGTTGCGGCCAGTGGGGCTACTCTTTGCTACAGTGTGCGGGCTATTCTTTGCGGCGCTGTGTAGCTTCTCCATGCTGTGGCTTCTCTTGTGAAGCATGGGCTCTAGTCTAGGTATGCAGGCTTCAGTAGTTGAAGCAAGGAGGCTCAGTAGTTGTGGCACACAGGCCAGATCAAACCCGTGTGTGATTGGCAGGCAGATTCCTATCCACTAGACCACTGCAGAAGTCACGAGAAATTTTTAAGCAGAGAAGCAACATAGTCTCACTTGGGCTTTAGAAAGATGACTCTAGCAATGATTCTTAATCCTGACAGCAATTAGATTCACTTCAGAAGCTTTCAAAAATTACAGGCCAGAGAGCTACTCCAGAACAATTAAACCAGTATTTCTGGGGGTGGGACCCAGTTTTGTTTTGTTTTGTTTTTTAAGTTCCTCAGGGTATTCTCCTGTGCTGTTAAGGTCAAGAACTATTGCTTTAAAAAAAAAAAAAAAGGAAAAAAGAACTATTGCATTAGGAGAATGGATTGCAAGATAACGACTAATATTTATTAAGCATCTACTGTGTTTGAAATTTTGTTCCAAAAGCTTTATATAATAAGACACACATATATGTAATATATATTCCTAATATAGACAAATATAGATACATAAGATAGATAAATAGACAGGTATATAGAAAGATAAATGATAGATGATTGACAGATACATAGATAAAGAGAATCCTGAGCCAGTTCTTACCATTTGAGCTCTGTGTGGTGAACCAATATTACTCCTAGCTTTCAAGGTAGATATTATAATCCTATAATCCTCATTTTACCAGTGATGAAATTGAGGCACAGAGCAGTGAAATACCCTAAGAAGATCAATTATTAAATGATTCACACAGTCTTTCTGACACCCAAAACCCCACGCTCCTTCCACTATATACCATTGCCTTATGAGTGCTGCTTAATACTCATAACAATTCTGTCATAGGTTTCATGATCCTCATTTTACAAATGAGGAAATTAGACCAAGAGAGGTTAATTTGATCAGGTCACAGCTAATAGGCAGAGAGGCTGGGAGGAATTTAAACTTAGACTTAACTCCAACTACGTGTTTATGAAAATAAAATACATATACTCAACACTCAATACAACTCTTTCCTCTGAAAGAAGGGAAGCAAGTTAGTTTGTTAATATAATGCAGAGTATTATTCTTAATAAAAGAGACCCATGCCTATGTACTTCCCCTTCCTTCTTGGTTCTCAGGAGGTCAAACCTTTGCTGACTATCAATCCCAAGGGACTTTTGTTGGCGGAAAGGGAGTACAGGGTTCTGCCATAATCTTCTACCATATACACCCAAAAGACTTTAGTCCTGGCTAAAGCCAGCAATAGAACTTCTTCACACTTTCATCTAAGTAGCTAAATCATGCTGATTAGTCTCTTTTTTTAATTCATTGTCTCCAACTCAAATGGGCATTCTCTGCCCAGAGGTACTATGCTTTTCCCCAGTAGAGAAATTTTCCCATTCTTAGAGAATGCTGCTGTCGTTGTTCAGTCACTTAGTCGTGTCTGATTCTTTGTGACCCTATGGACTGCAGCATGCCAGGCTTCCCTGTCCTTCACTATCTCTTGGAGCTTTCTCAAACTCATGTCCATTGAGTTGTTGATGCCATCCAATCTTGTCCTCTGTCGTTCCCTTCTCCTCCTGCCTTCAATCTTTACCAGCATCAGGGGCTTTTCCATTAGTCAGCTCTTCACATCAGATAGCCAAAGTATCAGAGTTTCAGCCTCAGTATCAGTCCTTCCAATGAATATTCAGGACTGATTTCCTCTAGGATTGGCTGGTTTGATCTCCTTGCAGTCCAAGGGACTCTCAAGTCTTCTCCAGCACCACATTTCAAAAGCATCAATTCTGTACTCAGCTTTCTTTATGGTTCAACTCCCAAGATGCATACTCTCACATTCATTCATACATTAAAAAACCATGGCTTTGACTACATGGAATGTTATTTCATATCACTTCCTACTCCTCAGCCCTCCTACACTCCCTGAAAAAATCACATCCCATGTCCATCCCATTATTCTCCCCTCCTCTGTTCCATCAATAATCTCCATCTTTTCACTGCATCATTCCTTGCAATTTACAAATTTCCTTTAGCACCCATCTTTAAAAACACTGAACACAAAAAGCAAAACTTGCTTTTGAACACCTATCTGCCTCTAGTTACTTCTCTACTTCTCTGCTTTCCTTCTCAGTTAAACCTTTGGAAAGAGTTGGCTTCATCACAGTCTCCAGTTCTCCACCTCTAGCCGCTCATTCATTTCCATCCTCCCTACCACTGAAATTATCAGGTCACTAGTGACTGCCATGTTGCCAAATTCAGTGATCTTTTTTGTTTATGCTCAGCCTCTCAACAGTTTTTTAAACAGCTGATCACTACCTTCTTTCTGAAACTTTTGTCTAGCTGCCAGAATACCACATTCCTTGTCTTCCTACGTCACTGACTGCTTCTCAAATTTTTATAGTTACATTCTCCTCTACCTGATCTCTAAATGCTGGAGTACACTAAAGGTCAGTTCTAGGTTCTCTTCTCTTCCCTATTCACAGAATCTAAGTGATTACATTTATGATCATGCTTTTACATATAGGTTTGTCACACTTACACAAAGATTGGGTTGTAAAGTCAGCTCATAAAGAAAAAACTCATTAAGTGTAACTATTCTTGGAAATTTCTTAAATCACACATAAACTACAGCAGTTGTGGTTTCATACAAGTTGATTTTACATATGATTGTGGCCATATTTATGTGCCAAATTGAAGACCAATACTCCATTTCCTAAAAACTCAAATTTGCTTCCCCTCCTGTGCTGAGATAAATTGTTTTCATTGAGCAATAGATGAAAAAGTACTTGAACTTTCACATTTCACGATAAATACTTATTTTTAAAGAGCAGACACAACTGGAACAACAAGCTGCTTCTGCTATGAGAGAATTAGGGACCAACTCCATCAGAGGGCACAGCAGACTCTCAGCCCTCATCTCCTCACTCCACATTTACTTTTCTTGAATGTAAAGGAGCCACACAATTTAAAGTATTTCTCACACTCTATGGTTGAATATGTATAACTCAGTAAGTTAAATGCTTGTTTGATATGATCCCATTGTACCATTTACATTTTGATGACTCCTAAATTTATTTTTCTAGCCCTGACCTTTTCCCCTGAGCTTCAGACTCATGGAATCAACTACCCACTTGGACTTAACAGCCACTTTAAATCTATGAGGCATCTTAACATGCCTAAAACGTAACAATTAATTTCCACCTTCCATGCCTCATCCTCACACAAAATAGCTGTTCTTCCTTCAGTCTTTCCTAGCTCAGTAATCGGCATGTCACTTACCCCAGATTTTAAAACAAAAACCTAGGAGTGATTCCTCCCTTACGCTCACATGAAATTCATCAGGCGCACTTAGATCTGGCTCCAAAACGCATCTCAAATTTACACATTTAATTCCATCAGCTCAGATACCACCCTAGTCTAAGCCACCACCATCATTTCTACTTTGACTGACCTCCCTGTTCCCATTCTTACCCTTGTCTCATTATCACTTTTCTGATACAGGAATTATTTTGCTTGTTTGTTAACATCTTCTATCACCACCAAAATGTAAGTTTCCTGAGGTGAGATTCGTGGAGTGTTGTTTACCAAACTATCCCTAAAAGTCTGGAACAGTGAGTGCCTGGCATAAGAAGATCTGGATAAATTTTTTTTTAATCAAACAAACAACATCACACCGTTAAGTCAGTAAACCTGCCCGACTTCTCACAGCCAGGAGGCCCCGCCCTCCTCCCGAGCCACTTCCGCTCGCCCTAGGCCTTCTGGGAGAGGAAGTCCTCTGCGCAGGCGCTGTGAGACCGCGGAGCTTTCTGGGTAAAGATGGATGCTCACGATCTGTTTCGCCGGCTCGGCGCGGGTGCCAAATTCGACTTGAGACGCTTCTCGGCGGACGCAGCTCGATTCCAGGTATTGTGGGCAGAAGCGCGAGTAACTGAGTAAGGAGTGGGAGCCGGAGAAATTGCCGAATGCTGGGGGAGCCCGCACTCGGAGACCCCGAGGCCTGGTTGTGGGGCATTTCCCCTCCTTTGGCGTTCAGCTTACCGCAGCGTTCTGAATGAACCGTTTCCCTGTCCTAGACTTGGTTGGGTCTAGCCGGGAAACGTTTCACCTCCACTCAACCGCCCTGGCTGTTGTTGAGTTTATTCAAAGCACCGTTAGAATCTTACTCTCAAAAATTATCTTTTCTCCAAAACTGATGGAAAAGAATTTGAAAAACAGCAACAACCCCAAACGGAGAGAACAGATTATTTCCTGGTGATCTTCCCGTTTGTCTTGGCTTGCGTGGGCATGGTTCTTTTTATTCCCGCTACTCCACGGCGTATTAAGTAATGAGAAGAACGATTTGAAATGGGCGCTCTTACAGAGGGAAGTAGTGAGTGATAAATCGAGAGAAGTTGGGGGCCAGTTGTGGAAAATCTTGAATATCAACTTTGGTATTGGGACTAGAGACATTTTTGTGTGTGTGCCTCACCTGTGTTTCTTCTTTCTTTGGCGGTATAGTGTAGTTGTTAAGAGTTTGAACTCTGGAACCAGATGATTCAAGTTCAAATCCTGGGCCTTCCAGTTAGCAGTTTTGAGACCGTGGTGAAATTACTTAACGTGTTAAAAGCTCGATTTTTCTCATCTGTTTTGCTGTTTACCTTGTTAGGGTTGTTGAAAGAAGGAGGAATTTAATATATCTAAACATGCTTAGAAATCTGTCTGATTATGCAGTATTAGGATTATGCAGATTAAGTAAGCATAAGTGTTATGCTTATAAGTGTTAGTTGCTGTTACGATTATTATTATTACTGTTAGAAGGTCAGAAAAGGTATCATCTTGGATTCCATTTGCCCGAACTCTTGTCAGCTCAACAGATATTTGGTGAAAGACAAAAAAGATAGTCATTGTACCCACATCCTTACTGTCAGTGCTGCTAGAGTGATAACAATGCCAAATCTGTCCATAGATTTCATTTAAAATTTTTTGGGTTTTAGATAGGAAAAAGGAAATATGACTTTGATTCCTCGGAGGTGCTACAGGGACTGGACTTTTTTGGAAACAAAAAGTCTGTCCCAGGTGATTGTGGAACATTAAGAACTCATCAGGAGCTACAAGATGAAGAGAAAAAAGAAGAGAGCCAAATTGAAAGCAAGAGGGAGCAGAACAGGAAAAAGAAGAAGAAGATGACTTCAGGTTAGGGCTTGATTTATGGTTTTTGTCTTTAATTTTTTTTTTCATTTACAGAAATACTAGAAGCTTATGGTTATATGTCAGACAATATATTGCTGTTTGTCATTTGATAGCATTTAAGTTGTTTCAAGGTATTTGTGATTACAAATATTGTTACAGTAAAGATACTTGTAAGCATATCTTTTTATACAGGTGCTGTTATTTCTGTAATTAGCATCCCCAAAGTGGATTCAGTGGGCCATAGGGCACGCACACTTCTTCCTTTGAACAGATAACTGCAAAATGACTTCCCACAGCCGCGACAATGATGAATACTGTTCGTCTTTTTTTTTTCCTCCCCATTCTAATGAGTGAAACGTTTTTATTTATATTTTCTTGATAGCTGGTGAGATTGAACATCTTTTCATAGGCTTTACTGGATATTTACATTTCACGTTTTGTGACTTGTTTGTACTCTTTGGCTGTTTTTCACAAGGTGGTTTTTTTTTTTTTCCTGTACTCAACTGTAGGGATATTTGTCTTTTTTCCTTGTTCCTCTATTAAGTTTCCCAGCCATTTTACCTTTTTGGTAAAATATATACTTACACATGATTTTTAAAACTTATTTAATCAGTTTCTTAGATATTTTTATAGTCTACTGACATGTATTTATACCTACCTTAAAAAACATGAATGATTGCATACTCTATGTGCTGTTCTGTTCTGAACCTTCCTTCCCTCTACCCCCTTTATAACAAGATATAACAGTATATCTTGGAATTTGTTATGAATGAGTAGGAAATGCGCTGCCTTGTTCATTTTAATACAGCATCATATCCCGTTATACATTCCATTATTGATTTAACAAGTTCCTAAGTGGTGGGCCTTTAACTTATTTCTCCGCTTTTGCTTTTACATTGTTGCAGTAAATGTTATTCTACTTTGGGTGTATGTGTGGGTATATCTGATAAATTCTTGAAAGTGGGATTTCGCAGTTAACAGATAAACTTATTTTAAATTCAGATATTTGGGAATTGTCCACCAGAAACATGGTATCATTAGGAAGTCTACTGCTTTGTTCATTGAACCATAGCATAGTATCCCGTTATATGTTGTAGGGATGTTCCATAATTGATTTGACAAGTTTCTGTGTTAGGCACATTTACTTTGTTTCCACACTTTTGGTGACAGTGTTGCAATAAAAGTCATTTTACTTTCCTGGCTACAAGGAAGTTTAATAAAGCCTTCCATCAAGATGAATTCTAAAAAGACCTGACACCAGCTTAGGAAAAAGATTCAAATATTGGGTAACCAGAGACACACAGATATGTCCTGTAATCATTTAGTAGCAAGTGCGGATAGACATAAAGAGTTTTAATTGGAGAATTCAAGGTCTTGTGGATTAGTAATGATTCAGGTCTATTAATGCCAACTGTCTCCTCATAAAGGTGAGCATAATTTTTTATATTTTTTAAAAGTCATTCCAATTGGTGATGCCCACCAGCAGTGTTTTTCTATTATTATAATTGAGCTCCTCATGTAGTATTGCCCTTTTTTATTACACTGTTCATCTGTTCCTTCTTAATTTGTTAGAGAAGTTAGCTGTAGTCTAGCATACTGTGTTTACACATGTTTCCTAGTCTATCCTGTCATAATTTATTTATTTTTGCCATTTTATGTGTTACCTGTATCTTTTCCTTTATAATTTGTTTTTGCTTTTGTGTCCTAAGCATTAAACTTAATTTTTTAAAAAATTCTCCCATACTTTCTTATTTGTAGTTTCATTTTGTTATATTGAAATCGTAGGCCCTCTGGGATTTTATTTGGTGTAAGGAGTGAATAAGGAACTAATTTAATTTTTTTTCCAGATAGCTAGCCGATTGTCTTAGTATATTGATAATCCATCTTCTCCCCATTGGATTCAGATACAGCTTTTATTGTAACTTATTTCCCATATATATTTGGGTCTTTGGTTCTGTTCTATTTCATTTACTTCTGATTCTGTATTCATAGACCAGTACAAGCTTGTTTCAATTAACATGGCCTTATGTTATAAATGGGCTTCCCTGGTGGCTTAGATAGTAAAGAATCTGCCTGCAATTAAGGAAACCCAGGTTCAATCCCTGGGTTGAGAAGATCCCCTGGAGAAGGGAACGGCAACCCACACCAGTATTCTTGCCTAGAAAGTCCCATGGACAAAGGAGCCTGGGGGATCAGAGTCCATGGGGTCGCAAAGAGTCGTACACAGCTGAGCAACTAATACTATATTATAAATCCCAGTAGAGTAGTGTGGCATACCATGTTTATTGATTGAGCAACTGGATACTTTCCCCCTAAAGTGAGCTATTGGTTCAGTGCAAATCCAATTAAAACTCTAGTAGGCTTTTTTGGTAGAAATTGAAAAGAATTTAAAAAAAATAATGATAAACATACACTTACTATGAGATCTACCTGTTCCGCTCCTAGAACTTACCCAACAGAAAGGAAAACCTGTGTTCTCACAAAGACTTGTATACTTGTGTTCGTAGCAGCTTTGTTTGTAATAGCCAAAACTATGAAATGACCCAAATGTCCTTGGACAGTGGAGGATAGACAGATTGCATATCCATACAATAGGATACTCCCTATAAATAAAACGTTTAAAATTATCGACACATGCTCCAACATAGATTGGATGAATGAATCTCAGGATAACTATACTAAATGAAAGAAGCCAGACTAAATTTAGTACATACTATATGATTCCATTTATATAAGATTCCAGGAAAAAATAAAGTTAATTAGTCAACAATGAGAGAAAAAGGTTGTTGCCTAGGAATGGAGTAATGCATTATAAGGGGCTACAAGGAATTTGGGGAACTGATGAAAATGGCCTTAAATGTGTTGATGGTTTAATAGGTGTATTGTTGCTGTTGTTTAGTCACTCAGTTGTGTCCAGCTCTTTTGCAACCACATGGACTGTAGTCCGCCAGGCACCTCTGTCCAGGGGATTTCCCAGGCGAGAATACTAGAGTGGGTTGCCATTTCCTTCACCAGGGGATCTTCGCAGGTCAGGGATCAAACCCATGTCTACTGCATTGCGGGTGGATTCTTTACCACTGAGCCACCAGGGAAGTCCAACAGGTATATACATAGGTCAAAACTCCTCAAATTGCATACTTTAAATATATGCAGTTTATCGTGTCTATTGTGCCTCAGTGAAGTTGAAAAAAATTTAAAAGAAATTCCAGAAGTAGTCTTTACTAATTACTATTCTTAGAATTTTTCAGCTATTCTTACATATTTATTTTTCCAGGTAAACTTCAAAGTCAGCTAGGCCAGTTACCAAAACTTTCTAGTTGTATCAACTGTTACTTTTTCTTTCAGTGTGAAGGTGTGGCCTGTTTGTGCCACCTAAGAATGTTGCAGTTAAAATCTTTCAATTTTTAAAAAAATATATTTTAGAAATTACTTCTCAAGAAGAAGTTTCTACTATAGAGTGGATATCATCTGTGGAAGCAAAGATTGAAGATAAAAACGTTAAAAGAGAAAATAAACTAACCTCAGGAAAGTTAGAGCAGCTAAGAAAAGAAAAGGTGAGAAAAATATTTTCGCCCTAATAGTTTTTCTGGCCTTGTGCCTTTTTCACTGTGCTTGGGTTTTTCTGTTCATCAAAGTGAGTATGATTTTGTTAAGATAGAAGGTTATTTATAGTAGCCTAGATTTTACTTTAATGAAAACTTAAAGTAGCCTTTGTGCTGTGGTTGAAATTTTTAAAGTTTAAAATTCTTGATAGTATCTTGAAATCTTGAAACTTAAACAGGGTCAAATTTGATAATGTGTTTAGAATTAAATTTTTTTAATTTCTTATTTCCCTTTGATAAACATAAAATTGGCCCACTTTATCCTTTATGTTAAACTCACTGGTTTTGAAGAATTTCACGTGACAGGGACTTCAGAGTTGGAATTTTTTTTTTTTTAATATTTATTTATTTATTTGGCTGCACTAGGTCTTAATTGTAGCATGTGGGCTCTTCAGTCTTCGTTGCAGCATACAGGCTTTTTAGTTGCAGCATGTGGGATCTATTTCCCTGACCAGGGCTCAAACCGGGGCCCCCTGCATTATGAGTGCAGTGTCTTAGCCACTGGACCACCAGGGAAGTCCCGAGAGTTGGAATTCTTAAGAAACCTGTTTTGTAATTTGGGACTAGGAGGAGTGGAATTCAGAAGAGACAACAAATATGCCATTGTAGAGTTTGCTGCACTCCTGCCGTGTTGCACATGGAGTATTGTTCAGCTCCTTTGGTAATCCCGAGTCCAGAATTTGGCTGTCTGGATCAGAGAGTGGGAAAAACCAAAAAAATAAAAAAATCAACACCACTTGACTCTTTTAGTGGCATTCAGGTTTAATAAGTAGAGTTGAGGGTAGATGGTTAAAAAGCACTGGCTCCTGTGTGCCGAGCGTTATCGGTGGCATTGACACGTTAAGTGTGGAAGTGTGGATAGAGAGGTTTCATTGTTGGGAAGCGCAGCCTCTGTGAGAGGGTAGAGATCGTACCTGGTGTCTGTCTCTTTTAGCGCCTGGAATTTAACTAGGCGGCTTCACATGCTACTAAAGCTTACTTAAGAAACTTACTACCGCCTTACAGCTTCTGACAATGTATTTTACCAAATCCCTTTGTTTTACTTTTCAGCTCAACTTCTTCCGGAATAAACATAAAATTTATGTCCAAGGAACTGATCTTCCTGACCCAATTGCTACATTTCAGCAACTTGACCAGGAATATAAAATCAATTCTCGACTGCTTCAGAACATTCTAGATGCAGGCTTCCAGATCCCTACACCAATCCAAATGCAAGCCATTCCAGTTATGCTGCATGTGAGTGTGAAGGCCTCGAAGTGTGTGTGTGTGTGTGTGTGTGTGTCTGTGTGTTCATTCTCTTTCCTCTGTCTTTGAGACCTTCCCGTCTACCTTATCTCCCCTTGTTGAAATCTTTGCCATCCTCTAAACTCCATCTCTAATGCCTGTGCCTCCATACAGTTTGTCTTGATCACTACTACTTGATGTGATCTTTTTCATTTACCAACAAACACTCTTGCCCCTAACACCTAATTCTCCATGTGTTTTCTTTTTCTTGAAACATTTATCTTACACTTTTTACTACTGTGTATTTGCACTAACTACACTTACATTTTCCATTTAACAAAAAGTGTTCATCTTCTGAGGATAGGGACTATGATCTGTTTATTCATCAATGATTTGGTTTATAATATCTAAGAAGTATTTCAGAAGTACTGAATTCTTCTATATAACCTGCAGCTTGTGGGATCTTAGTTCCCCAACCAGGGATTGAACCCAGGCCCTCAGCAGTGAAAGCACAGAGTCCTAACCACTGGACTGCCAGGGAATTCCCATATCCCAGTACTTTTTATTATTGAACTATATTTAAATAGCGAAAAAATACATAGATGTCAAGTGCACAGTTTAGTGAATTTCAGCAGTTTCATACCCTTTCCCTTCGGTCCCCACCCCGCCCCCCCCAACCCAGAGGTGAGCACTCTTCTGCTTCTTTGTGTTGTTTAATCTCTCAGTCCTGTCCGGCTCTTTGCAGCCCCATGGACTGTGGCCCACCAGGCACCTCTGTCCGTGGGATTTCTCAGACAAGAATACTGGATTGGGTTGCCATTTCCTTCTCCAGGGGATCTTCTCGACTTAGGGATCAAACCCACGTCTCCTACATTCCAGGTGGATTCTTTACCGCTAGCCACCAGGGAAGCCCTGTTCTGGTTCTTACCACCATGTATTATAGAATTATTATATAAGTGGAATCATTCATTATTTATTCTTTTATTTTTGGTTTCTCTCTTTCACTCTGTGCCTTTTTTGAGATTCCTCCATGTTGCATATATCAGTTTGTTACTGATATATGATAGGCTGAGTAGTATTTTTTTGTATGAGTATACCATTATTTGTTTATGCACTGTTGACAGAAGTATGAGTTAGCTTAGATTTTTGAAATTAAGTTTTTCTGAGGTTTCTTTTTGTAGTGGTGAGAGCTGACTTTTTCTTACCACATAACCAATACAGCCTCCCAGTTCTAGTAGCCAAAGGGTATGAGTTACCTCCCATCTCATCCATATTAATCCTTTTCATTTTCTTTGGGAACTGAAATAAGAATATATTTGAAGGATGTTTTTGACTGATGTTACAGCAAATTTGCTTTTAATTTTCATTAAGATGTTGTATGTATAGTGACCTTAGCTGAAAGCTTTAAAAAAGCACAGTGACTTTTTGAAGATCGTCACCTATAAATGATTGTCACTGGTGTTATCACCACTTTTTATTTTACTTTTAGTCCTTTAGTTATTTATTAAAATTTTCCATAAGGATGGAGCAATGCAGATATCAGGACCAAAAGTTGGTTTTCTGATTTTGTTTTGATAAAGAGGTTTAGGGAAAAGGAAAGTAGAAATAATGGGAATATGGTTGTGAATTATCTTTGGATTTTAGTTATCTACTTTCTTTACCCAGTTCAAATTAACTTTAGTGATAATGCTCAGAAACTCCATTGGGGTGGTGGTAGCAGAGATGGGTGATGTTAGAAAAGCAAATATCGGAGAAGTTAGAAGAATGATGGGAGTGTGAGTGTCTGGACTTACTATGTATAATTTCATTTTTATGGCTGGTAGCATTATTTGACTAGCACTGAAAAATGTACGCACTCTTCCTTGCACTTAATGTACTCTGTTTGTAGGGTCGAGAACTGCTGGCTTCTGCTCCTACTGGATCTGGAAAGACTTTGGCTTTTAGCGTTCCTGTTTTAATGCACCTGAAACAACCCACAAATAAAGGCTTCAGAGCCCTGGTTGTATCACCAACACGAGAACTTGCCAGCCAGGTATAACCTGTATTTCTGAAGAGAATGTGTTTGCCGGTCATCTTTCTTCTTTGAGGGTAATAGACAGGTCCGGAAGAGTAAGGCCCGTGTCTTTGTCATGGTCAGGTATTGTGTACAAAGCACACTTCTTGGTATCTCACTGCATAAAGTCTTACAGTTTTCTAAAATATGATGATCTTAGCATTTATACTTTGGTATATGCTCTAAGATCCTTGTCGTTGGAAGGCTACTGTAACATATGTCTGTTAGTCACTTAGTCAAGTCCTACTCTGCAAGTCCATGGTCTGTAGCCCACCAGGCTCCTCTGTCCATGGATTCTCCAGGCAAGAATCCTAGAGTGGGTTGCCATTCCCTTTTCCAGGGGATCTTCCTGACCCAGGGATCAAACCCGGGTTGTGTGCATTGTAGGCATCTTAGGTGTCTGAGCCAGCAGGGAAGTGGTCTGTAATACATAGTTCCTCTTTAAAACATTTTTTTCTCACCTTAAAGGAAACTTCCTCTCAGTTTTTGAGAAAGTAAAGCTATACTCTGATCCATTCGACTCTCCCAGTGTGCTTAATGTAAATACATGCCAAGTATGAAACCGTTTTGAAACCGTACTTTATTCTTAAAAATAATACAGAGTTGAAGAGTTTTGATTTTATCTCTTGAAACTGGTTTGCTAGACCTGAAGAAACCATGAATCTTATTTGGCATTGAAGTTCCAAAATGCCAAGATTCCAGGTTAATGTACAGATTATCATAAGCTTAATTTCAGGTATTCATTCATGGATTGATACTAGATTTATTTTATAAATACTAAAAAAGTGAGTATACATCTTATCCAAGTATTTCAGCAGCTGATATTTTTATCATTTCTGTTTTAGATTCACCGAGAGTTAGTAAAACTATCTGAGGGAACAGGATTCAGGATACACATGATCCACAAAGCAGCAGTTGCAGCCAAGAAATTTGGACCTAAATCATCTAAGAAATTTGGTAAGGGATTACCAGGTGGCACCAGTTGTAAAGAATCCACATGCTAGTGCAAGAGACTTGGGTTCGATCCCTGGGTGGGGAAGATCCCCTGGAGGAGGAAATGGCAACTGACTCTAGTATTCTTGTCTGGAAAATTCCATGGACAAAGGGACCTGGCAGGCTACAGTCCCTGGGGTCACTGAGCCTGACACAACTGAGCATGCATGCTAAAGGATGGAAGTTGTAAATTCAGTTCAGTTCATGCTTGAAATGTAAGGGATTTGGAAATTACAAATATCCGAATTGCCACCTAAAAATTCTTAAAGTGTAGTTAGTTTGATTTTTAGAAAAGCTGAAAGAGATCTCCTCTCACTTAGTAGTTACATAAATATATACCAGGGGTTCTCCAGCTCACCCTCCACCCCAGGGATATTTGGCAGTATGTGGAGATATTTTGTCACAGCTGGGGAGAGGTGCTACTATTAGAGGGATAGAAGCCACAGACACTATTACACATGCTGCGATGCACAGAACAGCCTCCTACAGCAAGGAGTTGTCTGAACCAAAATGTAGTACTGAGGCTGAGAATCCCTGTTTTATTCTATTGATTGTTAACCTGCCATGGGAATATTTTGCAGATCAGGCTGGCTTACATCCCTGCTCTTAACATCCACCAGGGAAACTTTTACTTGGCTTTTATATTGAGCTTCTGAATAAAGTTCCATTTAAGGAAAGTATTTCCTGAAAAACAAATGAATGTTTGAAAAGCAGACTGTTGGATTATTGTATTCCTGCCTCTTAGAGACTAAGAAGGCAGGTCAAATAAAAGGAGAGTAAGGACTTAGTAGTTTGTGCTATGATGGATTAAAAAAATATGTACATTAGTTTGTTGTGTTATTGGTATAGTGCATATCACCACTTCTCCCCACTTGAGGTTATTAACTGAAATGCAGGGGGCTTAATCCTCTAGTTCAAGACAGATGAATGTTGTTTTGCAATTTGTACCATTTGTTTTTTCTTACAGATATTCTTGTGACTACTCCAAATCGATTAATCTATTTATTAAAACAAGATCCTCCAGGAATAGACTTAACAAGGTATGTTACTTTAATAATGTCTTTTATGTGTGTTTTTCATTAAGTTGATTATATTTTGTCTTCAACTGTAATATAATACTTGTATTATTGCCCTTTGGAGCTTGCTATCTGCCAGCTTTCAGTCAGTGTTGGTGCTGAGAAAAGAGTAACTATCTGGTCTGAAATAAAGTTAACAGATTCTGATAAGCAATTAGTATAGAGTTCCCCTAGAAATTTTCACATCTTTCAGCAGTGGTGATGGAACTCCATCACCAATGCCAGTGGAACTTATGTCATTGTCAGTGGAACTTCATATCCTTTGGGGTAATGGAATAGGTACATTAATTTATGTTGATCTTCTTTTACCTTTTTATTGCTTATTTTTCTTGTACCTTTTCCTGGTACAGTATCTGAGAAGCATCATTGTGGTTTGACTTCTTCATGTGTCCCCGCAGTTTAGTGACGTGTCCTGGATCTTTCAGTTCAATAAATCACAAATTTTTGTTGTTGTTTCTTAGTGTTGAATGGCTGGTAGTAGATGAATCAGATAAACTGTTTGAAGATGGCAAAACTGGATTCAGAGACCAGCTGGCTTCCATTTTCTTGGCCTGTACCTCCCACAAGGTGAAGAGAGCTATGTTCAGTGCAACTTTTGCCTATGATGTTGAACAGTGGTGCAAACTGAACTTGGACAACGTCATTACTGTATCCATTGGAGCAAGGTAATTCTTCCATTACCACTGATTAAAAAAAAAGTCATTATTTTAGACTAAAAGAGACAGGTTGTGTGGCCTAAGATTAATAAAGAGTTTTACTGAAAGAAACATATTCTTTAAAGTCAAGTTTGATTAAGGATATTCTATGTTAGAATAATCTAAAGGGACATTCTCATGTCGGCATGTAGATATTACTGTCATCATGCATTTAGTTGATTTTTCCCTTCCATAAAGTATTACCATGAGTTCTGTGGCCACCCAGAGGATTTAATCTCTTTGATGGCTTAACTCAGTTGGGCTGAGAGTAGGAAGCTGATGTTACTGAGCCACTTGATTTATAATTCCTTTTTAAAAATATTTTGGGGTGCATTTATGCTAAATGATAGAAAAAAAGTTTTATGAAATTGTAATACTGCCCCTTGATATACGGTAGTGCAACCCATGAAATGGAATGGAGCTTCCCTGGTGCCTCAGCAGTAAGGCATCTGCCTGCAATGCAGGAGACCTGTGTTCAGTTACTGGGTTGGGAAGATTCCCTGGAGAAGGGAATGGCAACCCAGTATTGTTGCCAGGAGAATGGAAATAGTAAAAGTGAAGATCATAGCTGTAGAAGAAGTGCTTGTAATACCATGTTAAGTAAAAAGCCAAATGAAATAATAAAGAATATCCTATCTACTTCCAACTTAAAACTCCTGTGTATAAAAAGAAAAATAGAACAGATTCACCATAAATATAATTTTGAAGGAAGATAACAGAATGGAAAAAGTATTTATACATAGTGTAGTATATTACAGTGGCTTATAGAGTGTTAATAAAACCTTTAGATACCTCACTCCTAACTATCTGTCTATAAGTAAGCCTTTGCTATCACTATGAAAAAAAATTTAGCCATATGAAGCAACCTTTAAAATGTTCTCATTTTACCCAGTAATTTTACTTTTAGAAAGATTTTGTAAGGAATTGGAAACATGAAAATATATGACTGGAACACAACAAAATATCAATGTTTATTGTAAAATGGTAGAATTGTGGGCAGCTTATTGTTTATGTCTTTATTTTTTAACTTGAAATAACATTTTAATAATTGGAACAGAACATTTAAAGACTTAAATAGACATTTCTCTGAAGAAGGCATCCAGATGTCCAGTAGGCACATGAGAAGATGCTCAACATTACTAATTATAAGAGAAATGCAAATGAAAGCTACAATGAGGTACCAACTCACACCAGTCAGAATGGCCATCATCAAAAAGGCTACAAAGAATAAGTGCTGGAGAGGGTGAGGAGAAAAGGGAGCCCTCCTGCACTGTTGGTGGGAGTGCAAATTGGTGCAGCCACTACTGAGAACAGTGTGGAGTTCTTAAAAACTAAAATTAGAGTTGCCATATGATACATCAGTCTTACTCCTGGGCATATATCCAGAGGAATCTAATTTGAAAAGATACATGCACCCCAGTGTTCGTAGCAGCACTATTTATAAAAACTAAGATGTGGAAATAGCATAAATGTCCACTGACAGAGAAACGGATAGAGATGTGATGTGTGTGTGGACACACACACACCCAATGGAATGCTACTCAGCCATAAAAAAGAATGAAATAATGCCATTTGCAGCAACATGGATGGACCTAGAGATTATACTAAGTGAAGTAAGTCAGAGTAATAAATATGATATCGCTTATGTGTAGAATCTAAAAATGATACAAATGAACTTATTTACAAAACAGAAACAGACTTATGGACATAGAAAACAAAGTTACGAATACCAAAGAGGAAATTAGGGGGGAGGGATAAAGTAGGAGTTTGGGATTAGCAGATGCAAACTTCTAAAGGGAAAATACATAAACCACATATAATTACCTATAATGGAAAAGAATTTGAAAAAGTGTGTGTGTGTGTATGAAACTGAATCACCAGAGACTTTGACTTAAAGCTCAACATTCAGAAAACTAAGATCATGGCATCTGGTCCCATCACTTCATGGAAAATAGATGGGGAGACAGTGGAAACAGTGTCAGACTTTATTTTTTGGGGCTCCAAAATCACTGCAGATGGTGATTGCAGCCATGAAATTAAAAGATACTTACTCCTTGGAAGGAAAGTTACGACCAACCTAGATAGCATATTAAAAAGCAGAGACATTACTTTGCCAACAAAGGTCTGTCTGGTCAAGGTTATGGTTTTTCCAGTGGTCATGTATGGATGTGAGAGTTGGACTGTGAGGAAAGCTGAGTGCCGAAAAATTGATGCCTTTGAACTATGGTGTTGGAGAAGACTCTTGAGAGTCCCTTGGACTGCAAGGAGATCCAACCAATCTATCCTGAAGGAGATCAGTCCTGGGTGTTCATTGGAAAGACTGATGCTGAAGCTGAAACTCCAATACTTTGGCCACCTCATATGAAGAGTTGACTCATTGGAAAAGACCCTGATGCTGGGAGGGATTGGGGACAGGAGGAGAAGGGGACAACAGAGGATGAGATGGCTGGATGGCATCGCTGACTCAATGGGCATAAGTTTGATTAAACTCCGGGAGTTGGTTATGGACAGGGAGGCCTGGCGTGCTGCGATTCACAGGGTCGCAAAGAGTCGGACACAAATGAGTGACTGAACTGAACTGACTGAACTAAAATTAAAAAACTTTGGTATAACACAGGGAGCTCTGTGACAACCAAGAGGGATAGGATAGGGAGGGAGGAGACATATGTATACTTGACTGATTCACGTTGTTAAATGGCAGAAACCAACACAACATTGTAAAGCAGTTATTCTCTAGATAAAAGTAAATTTCAAAAAACTTTGTCTTTATAAATAGTTAGGTACTTATATTGACAATGGAAAAAGTCATTCTGTTGGAGTTATGTGTAAATTTTTTCATTTATTTAAAATTTATGGGGAAAAACAAAGATTGGCTCTCACAAACTGCAAGGTATGTTTTCTTCCTCAGGAATTCTGCAGTAGAGACGGTAGAACAAGAGCTTCTCTTTGTTGGTTCAGAGACTGGAAAACTACTGGCCATGAGAGAACTTGTTAAAAAGGTATATTTGGGCTGCATTTTCAAATTTTGATGAAGTTCACCAAGCCTTGTATTACTAAGGGGAGGCTGAGCACATTTTCCTGCATCGTGTTTAATAATCCAGTGGCAAATCAGTAAGAAGCACATTGGAGCAACTCGTCCCAAGTGGGAGAGGCTCACCTCTTAGAATAAAGTTAAATTTTCTGTTCCCAGCTCAGGGTATGCTAGGAAAAGACCTAACTGATGTCCCAAAAGCTTCCTTTTTCCACATCTGTGAACTGGCAGACCTTAGAGATACTGGGCGTTCAGTTCCTGACCACCACAGTAAAGCCAATATCATAATTAAGTGAGTCACAGGAATTTTGGGGACTTCCCAGTGCATAGGAAAGTTGCATTTACACTGTGCTGTAGTCAAGTGTGCAATGGCATTGTCTGGAAAAAATAAACAATGTACACACCTTAATTAAAAATACTTCATTGCTAAACCTGCTAACCATCACCTTCATTGTGTCATGTTAGTCACATCAAAGAGGACTGATCACAGCTCACCAGGGCAAAAGTAATAATTATGAAAAAGTTGGAAATATTGCAAGAATTACCAAAATGTGCTACAGAGACAATAAGTAGGCAAATGGTATTGGGAAAAAAAATGGCGTCAGTAGACTTGCTTGAATGTAGGGTTAGCCACACACCTTTGATTTATGAAAAACCCATTATCTGCAAAGTGCAATAAAATCAGAGTATGCCTATATATTGAAATATCCCCCCGCCACTCTGCTGCTTTCATGTAGAACTGGGACCTTACATGAGTAGGACACTAGAGTGGGGTTTTTTGTTTTATTACTGAATTAATACAAATATAGTACTTAGACTAGTGCTTGGCACATTGTGCTATATTTGTTAGTTTTGCTAATAATGATATCACTTGGCAATAGGAAATGGAAGGTTTTCACAGATAACTTACGTAGGATTATACTCCAGGGATTTTTAGCCATGTATGAACTTGAGTTTTGTGAACCTTCTGAAATTGTGTGAATGTCTGGTTGCCTATTAGACAGCTTCATATCTTTCATTAGATTCTGAAAGGATGTGTGGACCTTAATAACAAGGTCAAGTCCTAATGCTGACAGTTGAAAATATAGAAAGCTGGTTTGAGAGAGAAACAGGGTTTGATGATACAAAGTGTAAAAATCATTTGCTTAGAGCTGGTAGTTATAACTTAAATTTTGTCTAACTTGATAAGATAAAGATTATTTTGAGAGAACGGAGAACCAGGGACTAGGCTTTGGGAAATACCCACAGTCAGGATAAATAATGGATTAAAGTGACAATTACTTATATTTTAAGAAGGAACAAAAATGTTCTGAGGCACAGAAGCAAACATGATTATTTCAAGGAGTGGACATTCATTGCTGTAGAAAGGTGAAGGGGGGTTAATTAGACAAGATTTTTGGAATGAACAGAATGGAGAGTACTGCTCACATTGAGTAGGAAAAGGCCATTGTAGAGAATGGATGCTGAGGAAGATGGAGGCAGACTTAGACCACAGGTCTGAGAAATTTAGCAATTTCTAAATTGAAATGAATTAAAACCTTATGAAATGATGCAGTTACACTCTTAGTTATGGGTTATGTGTGCTTTCTTTTAGGGTTTCAATCCACCTGTTCTTGTTTTTGTTCAGTCCATTGAAAGGGCTAAAGAACTTTTTCATGAGCTCATATATGAAGGTATTAACGTGGATGTTATTCATGCAGACAGAACACAGCAACAGGTAAAGTCAAATGTAAACTTTCAAAGCAACAAAGAACAACTAAGCACTGGCATTTATGAAGCACTTGTTTTTCATTCCCAGACTGGTACTAAAACATTTGTTGTATGTTCTGTTAACCAGAGAGATAACACAGTCCACAGCTTCAGAGCAGGAAAAATCTGGGTTCTTATTTGTACAGCCTTGCTGGCCAGAGGGATCGATTTTAAAGGTGTGAACTTGGTTATCAACTATGACTTTCCAACCAGCTCAGTGGAATATATTCACAGGATAGGTGAGTCATGTGTTCCCACCCCCACCCCCCACTCATCTTGTCTTAGCACGTCTACCAGAGTCCCTTCAGCATGTTCATTTTCAGTACTATAAAAGTCCAGTGACTTGTATATTTGAATCTTGAAAGTCCCATTCCCCTCAAAAATGAGTTCTTTTGATTGTTTTTTAATGGTCTGATTTCTCTTAGGTCGAACTGGGAGAGCTGGGCGTAAAGGAAAAGCTGTTACATTTTTCACTGAAGATGATAAACCATTATTAAGAAGGTAAATTAGGAGAAATAGCTTAGCATTAAGCTGGCAAAATTGGTTCATTATTCTTATACACAATTAATAGATAATTACAAAATGGCTGTGTCCCAAATTCTGTTACTTACAAAATGGCTGTGTCCCAAATTCTGTTATGATATTAGTCAAGCAAATGTTAGCCATGAAAGAAAAATGATCAAAAGGCTTCGTTTTTGTCTTTCCATTGTTAGATTTTGGAAGTATTCACAAGAGAATATTTGTTTAAGTTTCAGACTCACAGTATTGTCCCAATAACATCACTTGATATTAATCACAAGGTAATATTAAGGTTTTTGGATTAGTGATAGTTAAAGTTAATCCCTGAATCTCTTACATTATAGCCTAGTCAAAATGATCTGTTAGCATGGTGTATTCTTCCATTACTCTTAGGAGCAGATGGAGTTTTATCTTTAGTCCCAGGTCACCTGTCGTAGAGGAAAAACTGTTTTAGTAACACAGTCCAATATTATTCAGTTGTAGCCCCTTGAAGCTGGGTAACCTATGATAGATACATTTTTAGAATCTCATCTTAATATAGCCCATCATCATAGATGTTAATGTAAAAGCTGAGTTATATTTCCTCCACTTGGGCTGCCTGCAGAAATGTTAGGCTGATGATAACTGACAGCAGTTCATATTTCTAACAGATGAAATCAAGCTGTGGATGGAGGTGGTTTGTACATTGACCTGTTTCTCGGTTGTGACAGATTTTGATTTGTGCCTTCTGAGCCTTGGCTCTGTCAACCTTGGTTTTGTCGTGAGCAGACTTTCATGTGACGCACAGGGGACTATTCCAGCAGCTTTGATTCACCTGAGTTTCCTCAGCAACCCTAAGCATGTGACTCTGATGACCCCCCATGTCACTGTGTGCACTTCAGTTTTCTTTTCCATCTGGGAAATGGGGATAATGATGATATTTACTACAAAAGCTTGTAAGGATTGAATAAGTGACTATACATGAGAAGTTCGAGTCAGCCAAGCCCTGTGATTTAATAAATTTAAGTGTGACTCTGACTTCACTGTTTCCTCCAAGACTGGGCTGTGCTGGCTAGGGCTTGGGGCATGTTGAGTAGAAGCAGCTGCTATTAAAATTATTCATCAGTATGTTGGTTTCAGTCCAGCAGACTGTTCTCTCAGTAGTCCGATATGATTGCTCCTGGTAATAATTGGTAATAATTTACCAGAACACTTAACTGGATTACTTTCCTGTTTGTGTACTCTTAGTTCCTCTTCTGTTGTGCAGAGGGTTTAAGTACATAAACAACAGTTTGACAAGATACAAATTTATGTTTACCGGTACCTTTTTCAGTGTTGCCAGTGTTATCCAGCAAGCTGGATGCCCTGTCCCAGAATACATAAAAGGTTTCCAGAAACTACTAAGGTACAGTCTTAGATTTACTTGGAAGTTTTTCTCTGTTTGCATGTACATTCTTACTTTCACACTCGTACATTATAGTTCTATCAACGCTGCTATTTTAGAACATTTTAAAGTAAAAACTTTCCTCTTAAATATTTGTGAATACGGTGTGTTCTTTCCTGTCAGTTTTTCATCCTTGAAATTTTAAGTACTCAGATTTTTAAAATATTATTAAATGTGAGTGAAATATGCTTAGATTTTAATTCGTAAAGCTAGTAAAAAATAGTTAATTGGCCAGAATCAGACTCTAGTGCTTATTGGCAGAGACAGTATGAGAGTGACACATATTTTAATAATAATCAATGCCTTTTTAAAAATTGGTTGAATTTATCATCTCTCTGGATTACTGCTCTGGATACTATTAGGTAAACTAGTATATTAAAGTGGATACAGTGTTGTCACTATAAACCAGTAAATAGATGAACAAATTTTGTGACCAAGAACCAAAACTAGTTTTATTCTTAGCTCTCTAAAGTAAGTTGCACTTAATTCAGTTCTTTCTTCTCTTTGTAACTTCCAGTAAACAAAAGAAAAAGATGATTAAGAAGCCCTTGGAAAGGGAGAGCATTAGTACAACTCCAAAATATTTTTTAGAAAAAGCTAAGGATAAACGGTAAGTATATGGTAAAAATTAGTTTGACTCTGTCATATTCATATAACTTGGGCATTATTTTTCCTTAGGATAGATTTTTAGAAATAAAATTTGATGGGTCTACAGTCTGCTATGGAGAAGGCAATGGCAACCCCCTCCAGTGTTCCTGCCTGGAGAACCCCAGGGACAGAGGAGCCTGGCGGGCTATAGTTCATGGGGTCACAGAGTCGGACACGGCTGAGCGACTTAAGACACATGCATGCACTGTCTCCACACAGCCTGCATCTGGACACACTACTGAGACCACTTGTTAGGACTGAGCTCACATCAGTGGAGTCTTTCTTGAAGCTTTGTATTCTGGGCAGGATTTCAGTAGGATTTACACTGAAGCATGTTGAAACATCTCTGAAAAGTATGATTTGGGTAAATTATAAATTTATTTATATGTAAATTATAAACTTATTTACATATTTCTATGAAATTATATGCAGGTTTATTTATATTTCTTTTTTTTTGTTTTACAATGTACACAGGACTACCCTTTTTGCCTATCACTACTGGGAAACCATGATCCCATATGGGTAGACTGAAATATTCTCCATAGTACTATTCTTTCCACTGTTTAAGGAAAAATGACACTTTAAATTCTGTCAGTACCAGTTAAGATATAACATACATAAAATGTGGGAATTTACCAAGTACTTACTGTCCATCTTTAGCCTTCCTGCATATATCTGTATTATATATGTACTGGATACATAATATGTAGTAAGGTGTACAAAGGATGTAAAATGAGACCCCTTTCTGAAGTTGGTGGCTCAGAGGATAAAGCGTCTGTCTGCAATGCAGGAGACCTGGGTCCGATCCCTGGGTCGGGAAGATCCCCTGGAGAAGGAAATGGCAACCCACTCCAGTATTCTTGCCTGGAGAATCCCATGGACAGAGGAGCCTGGCGGGCTACAGTCCATGGGGTTGCAAAGAATCGGACACGACTGAGCGACTTCACTTTCACTTTCCTGAAGTTAGGGAAAGGAGATTAGTATACATGAAAAAAAATAGTTAGAAAATATTGTTAAGTAAAATAGAAGCTAGAGAAGGGAAAAATCATTATGAATTGGTCGTTTACAAAAAGTTTTACAGAAGTAGAATTATCTCCAGGGATAGGTAAAATTTAGGCATGTAGAAGGAACAAGGTGAACCCAGGTGAGAAGACTGGCCTGCACTTTCCTTCTGAGTGAAAGAGTCAGCCTGACATTTTGCATTAATTGTGGGAAGTCATGTTCAACCCCAGTATGTGGCATGTAAAGAGTGTCCCAAGGGTTTAGTGGTTTTAAGCTTTAGTAACTTGGGAGGAATAAATGTTACAACCTTACGAAAATACATCACTGGAAAGATTAATTTGTACCTAATCAGTTTTGTGCCTTATTAATGCATTTTTTATTTTTCTTCTTTGTGGCAACAGTTCCTGGGTGGATTGGTAGAGGATTAGTAGACCAGTGCATTGCTACAGGAGGTTGCCCTGCTGTGTCACCTTATCTGTCTCACTAGACTTTTTCTTGCAATGAGCTGCTTCTGAATTGTTGCATGTACATCAGAACCTCATTCTTGGGTGATGGTAAAGCTAGGATTGAAAGTGCAGTCCTTTCAGGTACTGACTAGCAGCTAAGGAAAGTTTTTACAAAGACGGAAAATCAACTCGAACATAAGATCGTGGCTCTGTTGAACTGTAATAAGAAATATTGATATTTTAAATTATATTTTAATTGTTGATTTTTTTTTAATGCCTCAAAGTTATTAAAACTTATGGCTGCACTAAGACTTTGAGGACACTTGATATAAATCTGTCCCTAGCCCCTGCTTAAGATGCTTTGGTTGTCTTATTTTCTTCACATTTAAAAACCATACTTAACATAGCATACACACAAGAGCTGATCTGACACCAGCTTACCTTTCCACTGCAGATGTTGCTATAATGATCCTACCCACACCTGTGGCCTGAGCTCTATGCTGATTACTCTTTTAAGTCCATATCATCAGACCCTGCTTCCCAACTGAGTAATAAACCTAAATCCTGTTGCCTAGTGGACCTCACTTCAGGCACTACAAACTCACCCTGGTGTAGTAGAGGGTGGAGGAGCCTGGATTTGGAGCAAGAAGAACTGGCTCTAATATCACCTCTTCCTGTGTGATTTTGAACAAATCACATCTTTAAGCCTCTTTCCTCCTATATATAATGGAAATAGGTATATAAATAATAACTCTGCCACTCACTGTTGGTGAAGGATTAAGTGAGTTGATTTGCATTACTCTTCTGTAGTATGCAAATGTTGTTTCTCAAAAGTTTTTTTTTGTTGTTGTTTTTGTTTTCTCAAAAGTTTTTTCTTGTATTAAGAGTTAGTTGATGGCATTCACCGTTCGCCAAGCTCTAAAATCAGAATATCGGAGTTCAATCCTAATATTATCAGTGTGTGATGATCTACAAGTTACTCAACCACTCTACCTCATTTTCCACATCTGTATAAGGAGGATACTAATAGAATCTTCTTCTTAAATTAGAAGATCTGAGTTGATACATACAAAACACTTGTAACAATGTCTAGCACTTAATGGATGTGAACTCTCTTTATTGGGTCAGAATCTGTCTTTTATGCCATGTTGTAATGTAGTTTATTGTGGTATTTCTGACTCACTTAGGCGGATGTGTTTTTCTAAAGGGCAGAGAGACAATTTTGTGTTCCTAATGTCTCACATACTTAATCGTGAAGGCTTCAGTAAATGTTTATTAAACTGGTAGAGCTTTGGAAAGTACATATATCTAAAATTTCTAATTCAGCTTTCCTTTCATTGTCACAGGAAAAAGGTCACTGGTCAGAACAGCAAGAAGAAAGAAGCTCCTGAGGACAAAAGTTAAAAACAGACTTTTAAAAGAACTATATCACAAATGTGTTTTTATAATTTCAGCATGAATTTTTTTTCATGGAATATATCGTCTTATAATCACCCGTACCAAACCTTTGAAGTCAACCACAAGAACGTGGGACTAATGAAAAATGATCCTAAATTCTCAGTGTATCATGTCAAGTTTTAATTCATAGGTGATTTTTAAATGATTATACAATGGAAAAAACATTCATTGACATCTGTGTGGTTTGAATCCTGAATGATACTTATAGAAGAACCAAAGCTTATACTAAAAGTAACAACACCCAAATGTGGTGAGCTGGATTTTTCCCTTCAAGTATGAAGGAAGGTGTTGCATATGCTGTGGAGAGGCATTTGGAACCACATTGCAAAGTAAAGTCTTGAGATTGAATGCCCCTTCCTACCCACTTTTTTTGGGGTGTGGTGGGAGGGAAATGGACAAGAGGCAACACAAGCTGTCTACCAAGAATAAACCTACTCATCTCTCTATTTCGCTGTTTCTAAATTTGTTGATGACTTTTTGTAGTAGGAGCCATAACAGTGAGATTCCTTTTTTCCTCCCATACAGCAAATTCCCACTGGCTATCTATTTTACATATGGTAATATAAATTTCCATGATACTCTCTACATCTCACCCGCTCCTCCCGTCTCCCCATGTCTGTGAGTCTATTCTCTCATGTCTGTTTCTCCATTGCTGCCCTACAAATAAATTCTTCAGTACCATTTTTCTAGATTCTGTATATGTGTTGATATATATTTATCTTTCTCTTTCTGACTTACTTTACTCTGTATGATGGGCTCTAGGTTCATCCACCTCATTAGAACTAACTAATGTGTTCCTTTTTATGGCTGAGTAATATTCCATTACTCAGAACTGGACATGGAACAAAAGACTAGTTCCAAATAGGGAAAGGAGTATGTCAAGACTGTATATTGTCACCCTACTTATTTAACTTATGCAGAGTACATCATGAGAAATGCTGGACTGGATGAAGCAGAGCTGGAATCAAGATTGCCGGGAGAAACATCAATAACCTCAGATAACGCAGGTGACACCACCCTTATGGCAGAAAGTGAAGAACTAAAGAGCCTCTTGATGAAAGTGAAAGAGGAGAGTGAAAAAGTTGGCTTAAAGCTCAACATTCAGGAAACTAAGATCATGGCAACTGGTCCCGTCACCTCATGGCAAATAGATGAGGAAACACTGGAAACAGTGTCAGACTTTATTTTTCTGGGCCCCAAAATCACTGCAGATGGTGATTGCAGCCATGAAATTAAAAGACACTTACTCCTTGGAAGGAAAGTTATGACCAACCTAGACAGCATATTAAAAAGCAGAGACATTACTTTGCCAACAAAGGTCCGTCTAGTCAAAGCTATGGTTTTTCCAGTGGTCATGTATGGATGTGAGAGTTGGACTATAAAGAAAGCTGAGCGCCGAAGAATTGATGCTTTTGAACTGTGGTGTTGGAGAAGACTCTTGAGGGTCCCTTGGACCGCAACGAGATCCAACCCATCCATCCTAAAGGAAATCAGTCCTGAATATTCATTGGAAGGACTGATGTTGAATCTGAAACTTCAGTACTTTGGCCACCTATTGTGAAGAACTGACTCATTTGAAAAGATCCTGATGCTAGGAAAGATTGAAGGCAGGAGAAGGGAATGACAGAAGATGAGATGGTTGGATGGCATCACCAATTCAATGGACATGAGTTTGAGTCAACTCTGGGAGTTGATGATGGACAGGGAGGCCTGGTGTGCTGCAGTCCATGGGGTTGCAGAGTTGGACACAACTGAGTGACTGAACTGAATATTCCATTATGTATATGTACCACAGCTTTATCTGTTCATCTGTCGATGGACATCTTAAGTTGCTTCCTTGTTCTAGCTATTGTAAATAGTGCAGTGAACAGTAGGATATGTGTCTTGATTTCAATTTTGGTTTTCTCAGGGTATATGCCTAGGAGTGGGATTGCTGGGTCATATGGTGGTTTTATTCCTAGTTTTTTTTTTTTTTTTTAAGGAATCTCCATACTGTCTTCCATAGTGGCTGTATCAATTTATATTCCCACCAACAGTGCAAGAGCATTCCCTTTTCTCCACACGAGATTCCTTTTATATGGCTGGTTATTCAAGTTCCCTAGGGTTTTAAATTCTTTGGTCTGTTAAATATCTTTTAACTTCATCAGTAACATAGCTCAGACCTTACCTGTCACAATGTTGTAGCTACCAGAATATGGTCAGCTTCTCCTTTTGTTACTTCATTTTCTGTCATTTAACCATGTTCTTCCCTGTCTCTTTCCATTCAAGATGACTTTGCTAGAAAACTGATAAACATTTTATCCTGGTAAGGTAGAATGTCCCTGTTGCTTGATAACACCACTGGTAGAATTCTCCTACAGCTTATCTTTCCTGAGGCTTTATGGCCCTTCATTCCAGTTAGTATGCAAGTCTCTGCCAAGGGTAAAGGATTATGATTATAAAGTGCTACAGACTGTTGACTTATGCAGATTTTTCTCAATTGCTGGTTTTGTACAAGTGGGCCTTAGGAAGCATCACTATGAACAAAGCTAGTGAAGGTAATGGAATTCCAGTTGAGCTATTTCAAATCCTAAAAGATGATGCTGTGAAAGTGCTGCACTCAATATGCCAGCAAATTTGGAAAACTCAGCAGTGACCACAGGACTGGAAAAGGTCAGTTTTCATTCCAATCCCAAGGAATGCTCAAACTACCGCACATTTGCACTCATCTCACACGTTAGCAAAGTAAATGCTCAAAATTCTCCAAGTCAGGCTTCAACAGTATGTGAACCGTGAACTTCCAGATGTTCAAGCTAGATTTAGAAAAGGCAGAGGAACCAGATATCAAATTGCCAACATCTGTTGGATCATCAAAAAAGCAAAGAGAGTTCCAAAAAACATCTACTTCTGCTTTATTGACTATGCCAAAGCCTTTGACTGTTTATCACAACTAACTGTGGAAAATTCTTCAAGAGATGGGAATACTAGACCACCTGACTTGCCTCCTGAGAAATCTTTGTGCAGGTCAAGCGGCGACAGTTAGAACTGGCCATGGAACCACAGACTGGTTCCAAATCGGGAAAGGAGCACGTCAAGGCTGTATATTGTCACCCTGCTTATTTATATGCAGAGTACATCATGAGAAACGCTGGGCTGGAGGAAGCACAAGCTGGAATCAAGATTGCCGGGAGAAATATCAATAACCTTAGATATGCAGATGACACCACCCTTATGGCACAAAGTGAAGAAGAACTAAAGAGCCTCTTGATGAAAGTGAAAGAGGAGAGTGAAAAAGTTGGCTTAAAACTCAACATTCCGAAAACTAAGGTCATGGCATCTGGTCCCATCACTTCATGGCAAGTATATGAGGAAACAGTGACAGACTATTTTGGGGGGGCTTTAGAATCACTGCAGATGGTGACTGCAGCCATGAAATTAAAAGACACTTACTCCTTGGAAGGAAAGTTATGACCAAGCTAGACAGCATATTAAAGAGCAGAGACATTACCTAGCTAACAAAGGTCCAGCTAGTCAAAGCAATGGTTTTTCCAGTAGCCATGTATGATGTGAGAGTTGGACTATAAAGAAAGCTGAGTGCTGAAGAATTGATGCTTTTGAACTGTGGTGTTGGAGATGACTCTTGAGAGTCCCTTGGACTGCAAGGAGATCCAACCCATCCATCCTAAAGGAAATAAGTCCTGAGTGTTCATTGGAAGGACTGATGCTGAAACTTCAGTACTTTGGCAACCTGCTGTGAGGAACTGACTCATTTGAAAAGACCGTGATGCTGGGAAAGATTGAAGGCAGGAGGAGAAGGGGTCGACAGGATGAGATGGTTAGATGGCATCACTGACTCAATGAACATGAGTTTGAGTAAACTCTGGGAGTTGGCAATGGACAGGGAGGCCTGGTGTGCTGCAGTCCATGGGGTTGCAAAGAGTCGGACACGACTGAGTGACTGAACTGAGTTTTGTACAGTGGAATAAAAAATTGACTTCATACATATAAGGTACTTGGAAAGGCACCTGACAAGAATGTTGGTTATTGTCATCAATACTATAATAAACTTTCCTCAACAACATTTGAATTAAACATTTATTTCCTTAATCAGTCTTTTATTCTAGAGTCAGGATGGGTAGACTCCAACTTAAAATATTTCAGATGGAACAAAAATTGTTCATCTTCAGAATTTATGTAAGTGGAGCCCTATTGCTGCGAGGTCAAGAAATACTTCAACAAGCCTGTGATGTTTTTGTTTGTTCTTGCAAACAGATCCTTGACTCACAATATATTCTGAGGTGGATGTACTGGTGCCACCTATTTGCCAATCTTTTTTTTTTATTACTGAAATCGAGGGTAATACCAACTATGTCTCAAGATTAGAAACACTTAGGACTGCGCCTGACATGTCATCACGTCACAAAAAAATATTCTTTAAATAAACATGTGTTTGGTTAGGAATACAAAGCTTCATAACACAGTTCCTGCCCTAACAGCGTAGTGGTGGGGATAAAATAAAGGAACAAACTGTGGTAAATGCCATGTGAGATATAAGGCCACAGTGCTGAAGCATCACATGAGAGCACCTAACCTGAACTGGAAATGACAGGAGAGGCTGACAGCCAGAGTCTTGTAGCGCCCAGCATGCAAAAGAGAACAAAGCGTTCCCAGCAGAAACAGAAATTATATCTTGTATGATCCTTGAAATACTCCCTTCATTTGACTTTTAAGTAGTTTCTCCTGTGTAATCACCCATCTTTTAAAGTGGCTACATAAGCCTACATTAACTTGTCAATGGATTTATATGGAGTTTGGTTGTATGTATCAGTTTATATCAAATGGACCATCTGCTACACAGTTCCATCTAAAGAAGGGGAGGAATGAAATTTATGGACATGGGGGAAGAAACAAATAGCACACTGTAGTTGAAATGAGGAAGGACTTTGAGGTTAAACACTTGACTTGGATCCTGGTCCTGGTGTTTTGCAGCTGTGTGGTCTGAATTACAACTTCTTTTAACCTTGGTTTTCTTATCTGTGAAATGCCAATAGTAACTCTTAGGGACACTGAGGATTTGAAACAATACAGTAATGTTTCTAACCAGTGGTTTGTGCCCAATAAATGATAACTATTATTACAAACTGTTTCCCTGTAAAAGCCCTGAGACAAGCGTAAAAGATAAAGCTATCTATAATGTTACTTATTCAGTGGCTAAGTGCCTCTGACTCTCTGCATTCCCAAGGACTGCAGCATACCAGGCTTCCCTGTCCTCCAGTGTCTCCCAGAGTTTGCTCAGATTCATGTCCATTGAGTGGGTGATGCTGTCTAATGATCTCATCCTTGGCTGCCCCCATCTTCCTTTTCCTTTACTCTTTCCCAGCACCAGAGCCTTTTGCAGTGACTCAGCTCTTCACATCAGGGAGCCAAAGTATTGGAGCTTCAGCATCAGTCTTTCCAATGAATATTCAGGATTGATTTTCTTGGGGATTGACTAGTTTGATCTCCTTACAGCCCAAGGGACTCTAAAGAGTCTTCTCCAGCACCACAATTCCAACAAATTACTTCTTCGGTGCTCAGCCTTTACGGTCCAACTCTCACACCTGTACATGACTATTGGAAAAACCATAGCTTTGACGACACGAACCTTTGTCAGCAAAGTGAATGAAGTCTCTGCTTTATAATACACTGCCTAGGTTTGTCATAGATTTCCTTTCAAGGAGCAAGCGTCCTTTAATTTCACGGCTGCCACCACCTTCTGCACTGTCTGCGGTAATTTTGGAGTCCAAGAAAATAAAATGTGGCACTTTCCCCCTTTTCCCCTTCTATTTGCCATGAAGTGATGGGGCTGGATGTCCTGACCTTAGTTGTTTTCATGTTGAGTTTCAAGCCAGCTTTTTCACTCCTCTTTCACCCTCATCAGGAGGCTCTTTAGTTTTTCCTCACTTTCTGTCAATTATTTGCATATCTGAGGTTGTCTATACTCCCCCCCACCCCCTCAATCTTGATTCCAACTTGTGATTCCTTCAACCCAACAAACCAGTTAACTTGCTAATAAGCAAACACTACCTCAAGGCTTCAAAAAGTTTACATTCAACTTTTACAGTAGTTTGACTAGGAAAAAAAATCACAGTAAAAATATGCCCAGATAGGTTAGGTGCGATAAACCTTCCCATGCACCACCGTTGTGGCCCTGATGGTAAGTAAAAGAAAAACGCGGATTACCAAGTGACTAAACAACTTCAGTTTTTAAGACAGGTGCCAAAAAAACATCTTCCAAGTTCCAGGGAAAAAGCAGAGCTCATCACTAATGGACGTTGTGATGCTATCAAAGGGGCATTCAGGCTCCATCTATCCTTTGTGTAAAACGTAGCCATAAAAGAACACCCGTTGTACCCACCATCCAGTTTTTCAAACTGGACTCGCTCTATTCTTTCCATTAACCAAGACGATGGTTTTTCAAACGCAGGAACGACGACGACTCCCTGCCGCTCGGCCAGCTGTGCCTTCCACAAAGCCTTCCCAAAGAATGAATCAGCTCCCCTGGAACCGGGCCCAGGCCACCCCGCCCATCTCCCCGACCCAGAATTACACCCGGAGTCCCCTCTACAGCGGCCGGGTCACGTGACGAGGCGGCGCGGCCCCTCCCCCGGGCGCTGAGGGTCACGTGGGCCCGCGGCCCCGCCCCGTCGCCCCTGGCCGCGGCAAGGTGGGGCCCGTCGTTCGCCCCGGAAGTGGCTGTCGGGAGCTGACAGCTGCTGGGAAGGTGGCGGCGGCGGGCCCGGAGCAAGATGGCGCTGCGGCCGGGAAGTGGAGCTGGCGGCGGCGGGGCCGCGGGAGCCGGCGCGGGGGCCGCCGGGGGAGGCAGGTGGGTGTGAGGAGCTGGGCCAGGACGCGCCTCGCCGACGCAGGGGCCCCGCACCGGCCACGGGTGGTCGGCGGTTATGGCGGTTTTCGCCCGCGCCGACCCCTGTTCCTTCGAAACTAGGGCTGCGGGAGAAGGGTCGTCCTCCGGTAACCTAGGCCGGAGGGGCGGATGGAGCCTGGGCGCCGGACTCCTGTCCTCTACGCTCGGGCTCTGGCGCCGAGCGGGGAGGAGACGGGCAGGAGGCTAGGGTCCCTTTGGCGCGGCTGGCAGCCGGCCGGGTGGGTCAAGGAGGGACCCCGACGCCTCGCTTCTAGTCCGGCTGGATCTGAAGCTGCCAGAGACTTCCCTTTCCCAGGGCTTCATCAGGGGCCCCGAAAGATCTTTTCACAGAGCTGGACAGGTGTTTCCAAGGTATGTGTGTGTATGTGTGTCTGCACACTGTTCGCCTTTCACCGTCTCGTCCTTCCTTAACATACCAGAAACAGGAAAACCTGAAGACCTTTGCATTTGTTAAAGAGCTCTTGTAGAGGTTATTCTTAACACCTGTCTCCTCAATAAACACCAATCCACTGCTGAAAGGCACGTAGGCAGTTATCAGGACAAAGCTTCCAGACTTTTACTTAATCCTTAAACAAATTTGTTTTCTCTGTCATATTTCAGCTGCTAATCGCCAGTGCTTCTCATATCCAGAACGATAAAAGAAATGAATGAGTGCAACCTGGCAAGTTTACCGTTTAAGGAAATGCTTGATTCTGGGACGTTTTCATCCCCCTTCTGTTAATGACCTAGTCTGACTCTGTTTTGCTAGCCAACCCGAGGTTCATACACGTTTGGAGATAAATTTAGTTCTTTATCTTCAGCATCCCAAATTATTTTTGGAAAACCAAGTGTTAGTTTTTTGATATGCAGCGTTTTAATTTTGGAGTCATGAATACCACAGTGTGAAGCCTTTAAAGTCATCACCTCCTGCAGGTGCTTGTAATATATATATATATGCCAGGAAAAAAAAAGCAGTTGCTGTTGAATAAACCACCTGTGTGCTACTCCATCTTTCATTTTCTCTACACGTCTTTAGCTTTAGATTTAAGAGTGCTTCCCCCCTCTTCTGTTTTCAGATTTTCACTGTTGCACTAGTTTTTCAGCATATTTGTTAATTTTTTTAGCATAATTCATTACTGGCTGGAGAAGACAAATATGTAAATCTCTTTTCTGAACGTCAGGACTGTTTCTAAAATGTTTGTGAGTGGCATTAATTTAATCAAGTATATGATAAATCATGGCACCAAATTCTAGGGAAATATAAAAGAATTTGGCATTTTACACACAGATTTGGTTTTTTTTAATTTTGGTTTTCATTTGGGATTTTTGTTTTTTTCAGAGAAGATGAATGCATCTTCGGTGTAGAAAGTTGAGTGGATCATTTCCTTTAGTCTGTAGTTTAACATGAGCACAATTCTTTTTTCCTAAATATGGCCTGAATTGTGATAGAAGTTAGAACTTTAAAATTTTTGTTTCCTATTTAAAATTTGGTTGTAGTAATGTTGTGTTATTAAACTAGAGACGATATGAGAGAATAACTCAATTTTATATTGAAAAATGTGTGGTAAGTATTACCTGTATTGGAGATTTTCTGAGGCTGAGAAACTGTGCTTAATTTAAAAAGTGTACGGCTTTTAGAGACCAGTGGTGAGGGCTGAAGAAGCTAATGTTATGGTTGCAACCTAAATATATTTTAGGGAAAAAGAAAAAGAACCAGGCAGTCTCTGTCAGCTTTTAATAGAGGAAATCCATTAACCATAATTTACTATATTTCTTAGGTACTTCTCTGTTTGCTAAGAGGCTAAGCAAAAAGCACTGGTATTTTCCAACTTTATTAATGTTAGCCTCCTTTTGACTGGTATCCTGAATGGGCTACTTGGAATAAATTGTAGAGTTGTATAAAGGGCAAAATTTATCCGAGAGATGAGAAGTAAAAAAGCATTTTTTAAGTCAAGTATATTAGGGGAAAAAAAGTTGAAAAATCTTGGTTAGTCTGTGTCCTTCTGGGATATCATTGTAAGCCTGTCCATTTCCTGCTTTTATAAGCTCCTTAAAGGGCCTCCTCATCTTATCTTCCACTGCTGCAACACATTCTACTCAGAGAAAACATTCTATAAATATGTGTGGATTCAAGCATCATTGGAGGCGAAGAAGAGCTGTTTCAGCTAGGCCTCATTTTGAGGAAGAGGAAAGGGTCAAGAGATTGTCATGGAGATGGGAAGGCCTAGTGAACAGTAGGGGACAGCAGGCAGGCTGGATGGCTGGACTGTGGCCCTGGGTGGGAGGGAAGAGTTGTGAGAGAAAGCTGAAAAAGTTCTGGTACAACTGGAGCGGGCCTTGAATATAAACTAAGGAAGTTTGATTTAAGGGAGGAATCACATTGTATTAATCCCAGGAGCAGCCTTATCAAGGGCTTCCCAGGTGGTGCTAGTGGTAAAGAACCTGCCTGGCAGTGCAGGAGACGTAAGAGATGTGGGTTTTTTCCTGAGTCGAGAAGATCCCCTGGAGGAGGGCGTGCAACCCACTCCAGCATTCTTGCCTGGAGAATCCCATGGACAGAGGAGCCTGGCGGGCTACAGTCCATGGGGTCTTACAGAGTCAGACAGGACTGAAGCGACTTAGCATGCACACATGCAGCCTTATCAAATGGTCCATTGGGAGATGCACCTCACGTGTGCTACATGAACTGCATTAGAAGCCGTAGAGTCTGCCAGTGGGGTGATCCATTGGGAAGTCTTGTTGAGTCCAGGCTTCAGAGAGAAGTGAAGGCTGATCTGGGTTAGTCGCGAAGGTAGTGGGAAATGGAGGATGAATGAGATAGGCATGTGATGAATAGAGCTCACCGTGCTGCTTTCATACTAGGACCTCAGTAATGCATAGTGGCTTCATCTTGGAAATCAAATTGCTTGTCATCTTGCTGCCCAGTTTTTGGCCAAGCTTTTGCTCTCTTTATCAGTATCTTACCAGTCATTAGGTATGGTGACTGTTAGTCGTCTAAACATTTCAGAGAGTCTTATGAGTGGTACATAGGTCAGTAGGTAGTTTGGGTTGTTGTATAATTATTGGAGTAAGTCATGTTTGTCAGCAATGCTCTTATTTTTATTAATTTTTGTTAAAATGTAGTTGCTTTATAGTGTTATGTCAGTTTCTACTTGTACAGCAAAGTGAATCAGCTATACGTATACATGTGTCCCCTCTTTCTTGGATTTCTTGCCTATTTGGGTCACCACAGAGCACTGAATAGGGTTCCCTGAACTATACAGTAGGTTCTCATAGTTACATAGTATATATATAGTATCAGTAGTGTATATATGTCGATCCCTGTCTCTCAATTCCTCCCACCCCTTCCCTTCTCCCCCTTGGTGTTCATACCTATGTTCTCTATGCCAGGATCTCTATTTCTGTTTTGCAGATAAGATCATCTGTATCATTTTTCTAGATTCCACATGTATGCATTAATATACAGTATTTGTTTTTCTCTTTCTGACTTACTTTATGCTGTGTGACAGTCTCTGGGTCCATCCAGGTCTCTACAAATGACCCAGTTCTCTTCCTTTTTATTGCTGAGTGATAGTCCATTGTATGTATGGACTATCTTTATCTAGTAATAGCCTTAATTTAGTTTTTGTGTATGTTTTCAAAGTAACCTTTATAGGTCTGTAATCTTTAAAACTGATTTTGAAGTCTCAACATGTTGACTTCTTAAATGCATGCTCATCAGTTTATAAATCTTAGTGTATGATTAACTTTTAAGAAAAAACAATCCAACCAAATTTCAACTTGCAGTTTAAACATTTTATCCAGTTAACACATTGCTTAGCTAATACATTTTGTGTGCTATTCAGAAAAGCTGTTCACTGTTCAAGCTTCTCTTTGGGTGAAGGCCCACTTGTCAGCAGAATTTGTGAGTGTTTCAGATCCTCTACAAGGCTGTAAATGACACGTAACCAGGTAGATGTCCAACTAGAAATTTGTAAACCACCTTACCAAAAAAGTTCTTGATCAAAGAATTTTAAAGTTAGAAGACTCTGCAGTTTGGGTTTTAGCCCTTTTCCTGGGTCGAGGGGGGTGTCATGCAATAAAAAAATGCAAAGACACCTAAATTTGGCAGACTATTCCTGGATCTCACTATGTGCCTATAAAGACTCTCAGAAATCCCCTTCAGATTCTCATCTTCCAGATTTAAGGATTTCTCACTCAGATTTTTTCTTCCTCTGTATTTGTCCCATTTTCTTTCTTTCTGGTCTCAGAGAAGGAAGTCCTTCATCCTTTTGCTGTGTTAATCCTTTCCTCTCAAAAACCTTGTTTCTCAGTCTCTCTAACTTTTGTATCCTAAATCTTTATTTCTGCAGGTCCTGTCTCCTGTGATGAAACTGTTCACTCAAAGATCATCATTTTTTAAAACAGCATTCTTTATTTATTAACCCCCATTCTTATCAACTTCTCAATAGCATTAGACACTGGTGACTCCTTCCTTAAATGTGGTCCTACCCCAGTTATAACTTTCAGTTATAGTCCGTTTCCTTTGTTCTCAATGACCATTCCCTACACAGTTTTCACTAAGAATTCTCCAAGGTTGTCTTTTGTTGTCTTCTCACTATGTATACACATCCCTTTGACTCCTTCATCCACAACCAGACCTTAATTTTTTTTCTCTTTTTACCTTTATTTAGAAGAGCCTAGGGGACTTCCTACTTAATCACTGGTGGCCCAGTGATTAGACTATGTACTTCCACTTCAGGGGGCACGGATTTGATCCCGTCAGAGAACTAAGATCCCACATGCCACAAAGTGTGGCCAAAACATAAATAAGTAAAAGAGCCTCGCTAGGTTGATGCAGACCCTTCTCTTGATCTGGTGTTACTTCTCTGATTGCCTGTTAGATTGCTCCTCGTGGACACCGTCCTAGCACCTTACTCCCCACACCTGCTGACACTGGGTTCCTGCCTAAAGTGAACAGCATCTTCGTCCTTGTAGTCACTCTGGCCCCAAATTTCAGAGGCATCTTCAGTTCTTTCAGCTTTTTCAATACTGTTCTCCACCCAGGTAGTTGCTAAGTCCTGTTGATTCTTCCTTTTAAATAACTTTCATTCACCTCTTCTTTTCCATTCCTACTGCTCTGGTTATGGCCCTTTTCTTATTAAGATTATTTTAAGTTTCTTTAGCTAATTCTTGTTACTTCCAAGTCTTCTCTGCATACCTCATTACCAGAGAAACGTATAGCACATTTCTGATCATTTCCCTGCCAAGAACCTCTGACATCAGGGAAATGTACATCCAGATCACAGTGAGGTAGTCCTTCACACTCCTTAGGATAGCTATCATTATAAACAAACAAACAAAAATCCAGAAAATAAGTGTTGGTGGAGGATGTGGAAAAACTGGAACTCTGGTCCATTGGGAATGTAAAATGGCACAGCTGTGGATAACAGGCAGTTTCTCAAAAAGTAACCAGAGAATTACTGTATGACCCAGCAACTCCAATCCTAGGTAGAGACCCAAAAGAATTGAAAGAGGGACTCTCAAGAAATACTTGTACATCAATGTTCATAACAGCATTATTCACAACAGCCAACTCAGCTGTCCATCAACAGATGAGTTGGATAAGCAAAATGTGGTAAGTACAAACAATGGAATATTATCCAGCCATAAAAGGGAATGACATTCTGACACATATTACAACTTGATGAACCTTGAAAATGTTATGCTAAGTGAAACAAGCCGGATGCAAAAGGACCAATACTGTATGATTCCATCTAAGGTGGCTAGAATAGACATATTCATCAAACCAAAAAGTAGAATAGTGGTTACCAGGGGTTGAGGGGGGAGAAAGTAATGGGGAGTTATTGTTTAATGACTACAGAGTTTCTGTTTGTGATGGTGAAAAAGTTGTGGAAATGGATCTTGGTGGTGGTTGTACAACATCATAATGCCACTGAACTGTACACTTAATGGTTAAAATGGTAAAATTTTATATTATGTATATTTTACCACAATTTTAAAAAATCTGACTTTATGTATTATTCACAATCAAACATTTTAAAGGCCTTCTCCAGTCTGCTTGCTTTTCCAATCCTGTGTCTTGTGTTCGGCCTAAATCATTTTGCTCAACACGCCTAGAGCGTCAGCCTCTGAACTTCTGTTCAAACTATTGCTGTATAGCATGCCTTTCTTTTAAGATACAGCTCAAGAGATACCTCCAGAAACCTTCCGAAGGTTTCACCCATCAAATTAGTCTGTTTTCTTCTCATTTCTGTTAGTATTCTGGCCCTCTCACAGCCCTTAGTACAGTCTGTCCTATGTTAAAAGTTACTTGCCTGCGTCTGTGTCTTCAGCAAGCCTGAGCTCATTCAGGCCTTTCATGTAATGGGCACCCAATAAGTGTTCACTGAATTGAATCTAAGCCAGCCCTCTCATTTTATGGATGGAGAGATCGGAATCCAGGGGAGTCACACAGTGACAGAACCAGGGTCAATTTCAAAGTCTTCCCTCTTCTAGTTCAAAATTCTCCCCCTTGGCTGACCTGCTGACTGTCATGCATACTGTGGATGCTCAACCTGTTTTGATGGTGGATAATTCAATATTTTATTATACCGTGGAACAGATACCAGGGCCCTGGCTAAGGTTTAATTTATGTAAAATATTACATGTTTTATCTGAAATCTTTGCACTTTGAAGATCCTCATATATTTTTTTAAAAATATTATTTATTTGGCTGCATCGGGTCTCGGTTGCGACATGCTGCTTCAGTAGTTGGGACAGGCAGGCTTAGTTGCCCCTAGGCATGTGGGGTCTTGGTTCTGCAGCCGGGGATCAAACCCGCATCCCCTGCATTGCACGGCAGGTTCTCGGCCACTGGGCCTCCAGGGAAGTCCCAGTCCTGATGTATCTTTGTTCTGTTTTCAGCTTCATGTTCCCAGTTGCCAGTGGATTAAGACCCCCTCAAGGTATGTGCAAGTGTGTGTTGTCAGCTTTCATTTTTCACTATTTGTTTCTGAACCTGGGGACCAAATGAGTAAAAAAAGTTCTGTTGCTGCCAAATAGAGTAAAATTTTCTTGTTGTCTTGAACCTGATAGCTTACTCCTGAAATTTCTCAAAAATTGGGTAATCTGGGGAATAAAAAAAATTATTCCTCATTTCTCCCAAACTTATTTAATTATCAAATCAACAGGTTGTTATTTAACCTCAGAGATGAAGGATACTTTTAAGCAAGAGTATTAAACAGGGGACAAAAATGAAATGAATTGTAGTTCTCTGAATGCCAACTTTCTCCTGTCTTCTAGATTGTTAGCTCTGTGGGGCAAGGGCTTTGTCTGCCTTATGCTCGTGAGTATCTCCAGCACCCAGCATGCTGATAGAAAATAGTCAGGTCTTTATAGATGCTTATGGAATGAATAAAGGAACCTCTTTAGTTGTTTTATCCCATGTTTTCTGTGCATGAATTTTATCTTACTATAATCATGTACATAAGTGATCACATTCTGCTTCTGTGTAAACTATTATAAGTCTCGGTTGTGTTTCTAGCAGTTTGTCTGCTAGGTATATTCCTTCTCTTTTAGTTTCAGACATGGGCCCACCAATATCTATTCTAGCTTTGTCTTCAAGCATACAGGAGTGAAGGGGTATAATCTCAGCTCATGTTGCTGTACCACTGGGACAGAACATTGACAGAAGAATATGCTTGTCTGTCTGCTCACTTCTCCGACTCCTGTGTACCCACTTCCTCTCCACAGTCCAAGCCTCTCTGAAAACTGGCCCTTCTCACAAAGCCAGTGTTGACCGGTTATGGTAGGCCTGCTACAGAAACAGACTCCCAGGTCACCAGTAGAGATCAGTGATAAAGAGCAGCTCAGTAGCAGGTAGTCAGTGTCTCCATTCATAATCAGTGATAGAGGCTGCGTTTCAGGTAAATTTTTCCAAGGGTCAGTTGTATTCTTTTCATTGGACTCACGCTTATTCATTATTTAAGCTCTCTGTAATTAGATGTGTCCTAGATTTGATCAAGTGGTAGGAGGTACGCTGTTGTTTAGGAAGACATCACAGCATTTTGTGTGTATTTTTGTGGCTCATTTTGCATTTTTATAAACTTTCAAGTAAAAATCTACATATGAAGCAAAGGAACAGGACAAGGGTAGAGCCCAAAAGGTTGCCTGATATTTTTTTCTTCTGGAATTTGCAGCTGTTTTCGAGGTTTTGTTTTTTATGGAGTGTGTTAGAGTGGACTTTTTGATCTTTTGAAGACTTTAAATTACACATGGGTTATTTTTGAGAGCCTGTGCAAGGAACTGACAAGAGTGGCCACCAAGGTGAATGGGAGACAGGAGAGAAACAAGACTTGTTTTTCAACTGTATGTACTTCTGTGCTTTTAAATTTTATGCCATATCTTTGACTTACCTGTTCAGGACTTAAATAAAATTATGAAAATAAAACTGTAAGTCCAAAGGCATCGGAGGGATAACATCCTCCTGTGCTGTATCCAGTCTCTGCATTCTCATTGTCTGTGATGCCTCAAGGCCTTCGCATTTGGTGTTCCTTGTCTAGAATGCTCCTCCCTGGTGCCCGCGTGGCTCACTCCCTACTCTTTCAAGTCTTTGCTTAAATGCCATCCTTTTGGTGCAGCCACTTTTCTCCCTGACTTTCTTACCCCTCACCCTCACCTGATATCCACTTATTTTTTTTTATTAATCTACCCCAGTTACAGTGTAAGTTCCATGAGAGTAAAGACCTGGCTTTGTCCAATGCTACATACCTAGAATGGTACCTGACTTGGAGTAGGGCTTCAAATATTTGAATAAATGATTAGTATAAATGAATAATGCCACTGATCAGTGTTACCTCAAATGTAATATCCATGCTTCTGATATTACACTCTAAATATCCTTGAAGGTACACACAACCCGCTAGATAAACATGGTAGACTTTACCAGACCTTTAATTTTTTTTAATCAAAATTTGATTCTTTTAATCTTTATACTAGAACTAGCATGGATGTGATTTGTGGTACAGTGTAAAATTAGGATGAAATCTGTGTTCAGGTTATATAGGGATTTTGTTTTATTCTCTGTTGCATACCAAGTATTTAGAACGGTGCCTGAAATATAGTAGACATTTAGTATTTATTAAATCCCTGGAGGAATGTAGTTTTCATTCTCCTCTTGGGACTATTACTTTGGAAAAGTTTGGGAGGTACCATACTATAAATCATATTTTCATCCATTATATACTTTGCATGCTGATGGCTGTTTTGTGGTATTATATTAACTATGTAAGGAAAGAAAAGAGAAGTACCATTTCTTTAAGCATATTATGTATTATACAGTGTTGTGAATGTGAAATCAAGGTACAGAAAGAAGTTAAGCAAGTTTGCCCAAGGTCCCAAACCTAGGAAGTGATATTTTTAGTCAGCTTCAAGAGTTCATGCTCTTAACCTACTTTTGTATTAAAAGTGGCTTAATTAGTATTAACTCTTAACTACTAGTTATTTGCTGCTGCATAGAAAATTACCCCAAAACTTAAACAGTTTACTATTAAAATAGTAAACCACACTGTGTCTGTGAGTCAGGTATCTGGGAGTAAGCTCCCTGGGTGGTTTTGGCTCAGGACCAAGGAGATTGCAGTAAAGATGTCAGCTAGGACTGTAGTCATCTAAAGGTTTGATGGGGCTGGAAGATCTATTTCTGAGATGGCTCATTCTCATAGATGGCAGATTTGTGCTGCCTTTTGGCAGTAGGTTTCAGTTCTTGCCACATGGATTCTCCATCGTCCCGAGGACTGCTTGAGTATTCTCATGATGTGGCAGTGGCTTTCCCAACAGCTGATCGCAGAGAACAAAGATGAAGCTGCACGGTTACTGAGAACAAGCCTCGTTTCCACAGTGTCCCATTGGTTATACTGGTCAACCCTATTCAGTGTGGGAGGGAAGGACAAGGACATGAATGCCAAGAGACAGAGATCCCTGGGGGTCATCTTGAAGGCCAGATAGGTCATATTGTGTGTTTTTTAAGTATGCACAAAAATTCTGTACAAGTATTATTATCTTCATTTTACAGATGAGGTTTTGTTAGCTTGCCCAAGACCACAAAGCTAAGTAATTCAAAGCAAGTCTGTCTCACGCCAGAGCCTGTGCCTCTTCCTCTTTACTCTGCCACTTCCCAACAAACAGGTCATTTAGGTACTTAGGGTTTTAAGAAAAGAGAAAGTAAACTGTAAAACACATTGACTTTAACGATACCTTTGTTTTTCAGCAGGGCTGATGCCGATGCAGCAGCAAGGCTTTCCTGTGGTCTCAGTCATGCAGCCTAACATGCAAGGCATGATAGGGATGAATTACAGCTCTCAGATGTCCCAGGGACCTATTGCTATGCAGGTACTTGCCTCTTTTTAGCCAGTATTTACAAAATTATTGTTAATTGTCTACAAACCAAGCTACATACTCAGAGCTTAATGTTATATTTAGAAATAAGTGTGGTCTGCATCTTAGGTGGCTTCCTTGAAATAAAGTGAATATATGCCCCTGCAAGCCCACGCCTCCACGGGAGATCCTCACTCACTCCCAGGCAGGTCTGGCTCATCCTTGTGGGTCACTGCTCCTTTCCCCTGGGTCCTGGTGTGCACAAGGTTTTGTTCGTGCCCTCCAAGAGCCTCTGTTTCGCCGAGTCCTATGGAAGTTCTGTAATCAAATCCCACTGTCCAGAGTCAGATTCCTTGGTGGTTCCCTGTCCCTTTGCTGGATCCTCAGGTTGGAAAGTCTGATGTGGGGCCTAGAAGCTTTGCAACAGTGCGATACCTTCTTTGGCATCATTGTTCTCCAGTTTGTGGGTCGCCCACCTGACAGGTACGGGATTAGATTTTCACGTGATTGCACCCCTCCTACTTGCGGCTTTTCCTTTGTCCTTGGCCACGGGGTGTTCTTTTTTTGGTGGGTTACAGCATCCTCCTGTCAATGGTGGTTCAGCAGCTAGGTGTGTTTTTGGTGCTCTTGCAGGAGAAGATGAGCACATGTCCTTCTACTCTATCATTTTGATTACAGGAGAGGGCTTTTTTTTTTTTTTTGCCATGTATTATTTAATTAACATTTTTAATTGGTTATGTTTTTAAACAATTCTTAAAGGAGTCTTTTCTTGTTAAGTAAATAGAAAACCTCATTCGTTATAAACAGAGGATAACCAAAAAATAAATATGGTGAATCAAGACAGTATTACCAAATTCTAGCTGGATGCTATTACTCATTGGAGTTGATAAACCTCATGTTTACTTTCTCTTCATTTAAAAAAAAAAAAAGGAAATTATGTCTACAATTTACCTGTAAACGGCTTGACCAAAAAAAAAAGTAAAGATGTGTAGAAACAGAGCAAAATGTTAATTTTATACTGTTCTTTCAAATTTTCTGTAAGTTTTCAATTTTAAAAAAATGAAGTGTTAGGTGAAAATAACACTTAAAACGAGACATAAATGGGAATCTGATTGAGAGTTGCAACGGAATTAAAGAGAATTTTCCTGCTGTCATGCTGAACACGTGTCCCTGTATAACTGGTCATGATCCCAGATAGTGTAGATTAAAGCAAATAATTCTGTTTTGTAAATGATTCTGTTTTGTTTTGGTTTAGAATCAGTGAGTGGAATTGGTAGTATCGTAATATAATTAGTGCAGTCTAAGAAATGAGCTTTATCTATATCCATTTAGGTTTACATATCTTTCTAAATTATCTCTTCAGCCATGGTATCCATTTAAACCAAGTAAACTGAATCTGGGAGTCAAATCTTTGGTGAAATTCAAAGTGTTATATTATTTTTTAAAAAGGGAGAAGGAGAAAGAAAAAAGGGGGGAAAATCATTCACAAATAAACCAGAGCAAAAGAATTTTGTATTACTAATATTTTAAGTGCCATATGTATCATTTTTACCTAATAATTTAAAAGTTTCCATTCCTGCATGTTTTATATATATATTTGTACAAGAGCACATGTATATAACTTATAACTAATGTTGAGTTAATTAGAATTTAAGTTTAAACCCTTGTCACGTTGAAGTCATTTAAGCAGATAAAGTTTCTATATTTGTAAAGATTTAGGAAAACTTTCAAATCTTTTTTTTTTTTTGCTTTTGTAAAACTTTTGGCTGTGCTGGGTTTTCTTTGCTGCGTGCGGGCTTTCTCCAGTTACATCTGGTGGGGGCTCTTCTCCAGGTACATGGGCTTCTCACTACAGAGGCTGCTCTTGTTGCAGAGCACAGGCTTTCCACACGTGTGCTCAGGAGTTGGGGCACAGGGGCTTAGTTGCCCCATGGCATGTGGGATCTTCTTGGACCAGGGATTAAATCTGTGTCCTCTGCATTGGCAGGTGTAGTCTTAACCTCTGGACCATCTGGGGAAATTCCCAAATCATTCTTTATTCATCTCCAGTAGGAAGAAAATGGGAATAAATTAAGCTTCTGTAGGGTTTAAGTTCAAGTTACTCAGCTTTCACTAGGTTATGCTGCAGAAACAAAAATCCCTAAGTCTCAGTGACTTACAGAAACAGATGTCTCATTTGAGATACATGTCCTTTGATGAGTTGGCTCTGACTCAGCTACGTGTTCTTTATCATGAGACCTTTACCTAGGACATCCCAGACTCCTGGCATAAATGAAAAGAGATGACCAAACCCTGTGATGTCTTTTAAAGCTTTCTCTCAAAGGTAGGAGTTACCAGTCACTTCTGCTTACAAAGGTAACGTGGCCCAAACAAGAATCAGTGGTGAGTCTACCAGGAGGAATGCACACCACACAGGGATGTGCCAGCTTCTTACAGTAAGCGCAGCCAGTCATTGTAAACAGGCCACCGAAGAACACCATGTGTTTCTCATTAAGATTTCGTAAGCTTCCTGTTGAAATCTTAACAATTGATACAATTTTAAAATCGATTTCACACTAAATATTGTTTTCTGACTTGCGTGTGTATGCTCAATTGTGACCCCATGACTATGGCTCTCCAGTCTTCTCTGTCCATGAAATTTCTCCAGGCAAGAATACTGGAGTAGGCTGCCATTTCCTTCTCCAGGGGATCTTCATGTGTCCAGGGATCGAACATGCACCTCCTGAATTGGCAGGTGGATTCTTCACCACTGCACCACCTGGGAAGCCCCTTCTGACTTACGTAATTATCTGAAAAATGTGTTAAAGAGTTTGAAATGACCAAAAACAGTAAGGATCTCTAATACACAGAGCAACAGTAAATAAGTGAACTACTAGGTTTGATACTACTGAAATAATTTCCCTCAGTATCAGGAGCTTCTAAATGATTCTAAAGTAGAGAGACTTCCCTGGTGGCCCAGTGGTTAAGAATCCACCTGCCAATACAGGGAATATGGGTTTAATCCCTGCTCCAGGAAGATCCCGCAAAGAGGAGTGGACCCTACTTGCTGCAACTAGAGACAGCCCGCGTGCAACAATGACGACCCAGTGCAGCCTAAGTAAATAAATGTAAAAAATTAATGAAGAATCCAAAATCTTTTTCCTTAAGTCTTGCTGGCAGGTATTATATGCTACTTGGAAGCTGTTCACTATTCTTAAAGGAGAAACTCACAGAAATCTTACGTTTTCCCTCCAAACTTCATAGCCTTAACCAACCACAGATGTATATGAAGAATACCTCTTATTCTTTGCTGCTGCTAAGTCGCTTCAGTTGTGTCTGGCTCCGTGTGACCCCATAGACAGCAGCCCACCAGGCGCCCCCGTCCCTGGGATTCTCCAGGCAAGAACACTGGAGTGGGTTGCCATTTCCTTCTCCAGTGCGTGAAAGTGAAAAGTGAAAGTGAAGTCGCTCAGTCGTGTCCAACTCTTTGCGACCCCATGGACTGCAGCCTCCCAGGCTCCTCCGAGCATGGGATTTTCCAGGCAAGAGTACTGGAGTGGGGTGCCATTGCCTTCTCCATCTTATTCTTTAGTCATCCCTTAAATCTTTGAAGGATACACAGGTAAAAGTCAAAGATGAAAATTAGTCTCAGTTGCCTCATAGCCCTCTACTCCCCAGAACTCATAAAAAGAACACAGTTAACAAGATTTTGAATACGTTTTGAGGTTAATATTCAAATTATTTCCGATGTAGAGGTAAGAATGAAATATATGATGAACAATTTGTGAGCCAGTAAACCGTTTTTAGTTAAACTTTTTATTTTGAGGTAAAGTATGTACATGTTTATATAAGAAATAATACAAAGAGTCCCCCAGTGGTAACTACTTGGAGAATGACAGTATAATATCACAGCTGGATGTTGGCATTGATAGTGTCCAGATATAGAACATTCCCAACACCCCAGGGATCTCCTCATGTTGCCATTTTGTAACCAAATTCGTCTCCCTCCCACTTCATGCCCCCCAACCCTTGTCAATCACTAATATATATGTTCCCTATTTCTGTAATTATATGATTTCAGCTTTACCTAAATTGAATCAGTAACCTTTTGAGATTGGCTTTTTTTGCTCTGCGTAATTCTCTTTAAATTCATCCAAGTTGTTACATGCATCAGTATTTCCCTTCATTTTTATTATTGAGTAATATTCCATTATTGGATATACTATTGTCTGCTTAACCATTCACCCACTGAAGGACATCTGGACTCTTTACTTTTTAGCTGTGATAGAGATTTTTTAACATAAGGCTTCATTTCTCTGGGATTAATGCCCAGATGGCATGTTATTTGGAAGTTTAGTTTTAAAGAAATTGTTAAACTATTTTCTAGAGTGGTTGTACCCTTTTACATTCTCACAGGCAATATAGGAGTGATCCAATTTCTCTGCATCCTTGGTAGCATTTGGTGTTATTTTGTGTTTTAGCCATTTGATAGGTGTGTTGTGATATCTCATGATTTTAATTTGCATTTACCTTGTGACTAATGTCAAAAGAAAATTCAGGGAGCTTTACTTGATATGGGTATTTTATTGGGCAAGGATCAAATTATTTCTGAACAGGGAGACCTCAAACCACAAGTGATTCCAGCAGTTCATTAATGAATGAATTAATTGTTTTCTACTGTGATTAGTTTCTAGAAATTTACTTTCCTTTTCATTGCTAAGCTTACTTTTTTGTAGCTTATTAGCTAGAATACTGTGAGGTCACATTGACATGAAGAAAGGTTTTGTTTAAGGTCAGGCAGCATTTCAGGGAAATCAGAACAGTGTTACAATTTGGTTATGTGACTGTGAGCCTGTGGTCTAGAGATATATTCAGAGTGCAGCCTCCATATTGGTTTTTCTTTAATGATGCTAGACATATTTTCATGTGCTTACTTGCTGTCCTTATATTCTCTTCAAAGAAGTGTCTGTTCCTATCCGGTCCATTTTCTTGTTGGACTTTGTTGTTGTTGTTTTTGTTGTTTTACTGTGAGAGAG